AGAAAAAGAGAGAAAAAGAGAAAGAGAAAAAGAGGATAGCCTTCCAAGGATCGATCATCATTATACTAAAGGGGCATTCCTTTACTGCAAAAACAACCTATTTAACGGGGAGTACACGATGAAACCAGACATTATACCAATTACATGTTATATGCCTGGGGACCATCTGACATTGCATTTATAGCCAGTGACCTATCATATTAATAATATTGCGGGATAATCACACATATCCATGGCAATCACACAAGCCTCGAAAACATAATTTCATTGATAATCCTCCAAGACAATTGTCCTAGTTGCTTCACTCATGATGTAATGCTTTATCTATTATCTCTCAGCATTATCCACATCGCTGGCAACAAGGTGCATGTGGCTGTCCCCAGTCGAATGTATCATTAGGTTTTGCCATCAAAATTCAATAATTTCTCAATACCTCTACTCACACGTGTTGTGAATATGAACCAGTTAAATAAGTAGAGAGTATTCTTGCTTCATATCTACATGATGATAGACCGTCCGCATCGACCTCCTTCTGTGAGCGCCTATCACTCGTTTGCATCGAGGTGAGCCAAGCAACTTCTGCCCCTAAATATCGCTACGTCCCATCCGATCATAGGTAGTCGATGCCATATCTGTTCTACAACTCATATTAGACGGATGAGATAAAGTACATGGAGCACTTTGTCAGTTGACTTACTGTTCGAATTGGCATCCGATGCCGAAAAGATCTTGCTCCTGATCTTTCTTTCGCTGATCTTTTGTTCGTCGCTTTGTAGGCTTGGCCTTCTTTGACTTTTTGTTGGCTGCGTCATCGTATGCATCGTGGTCGAGCCTGGCATCAGTCCAGACTTTCATGGAAACATTGTCCGAGTGATCATCAGCAGGATAGGCCCTGTTATTGTTAGTCTCTGTTGTCTAGCCCACTGCGGAATGGAAAAAGAGCCCTCACATGGCGATTTTCTTTTCTCAGGGGTTCCAGATGAACTTTGAGTTTGATTCGAGTATGAAATCATATCCTTCCCATGGATCAATGAGAATTACCTGGTATATATCTACACTGGTTACCCATCCCATGATATCGTAGGCCCAAATCTTTTTTCGGTAAGCCTGCACGCCCGCATCATTGTTTTGTCCATTTTCTCACGACCTTTACCTTGGGCGTGTCTCAATTTGATTTCAAAATTTTCGACATTGGCCAGATTCTATCAAGCTGGGCATCATACTCGGAAGATGGGAGCACGCGGGCTTTGATAATATATCTCCATACAGCATCATTGTCCAGATTCTGGTCATGCATAGTTTCATGCCAAGGCTGGAACGTACAGCTTTTGGTTGTACAGTGATCAAGATCACTGATAGGCCAGATTCGGGACACAATGCCTCAACACCCCCACCATGCAGAATAGTGCAAATGTGTTCCATTCAATATCTGCAGCCTGCCCAGGAGTCGGGGTTTCTTGCTTTCGACGCCGAGTGTGTACTGGTGGGGTGATTTGACCCTCGTTATCGGCCAGATTCTGTCTTCCAAATCCCAATGTGCTTCGCCTCCCATCTGCAAGCAGGGGGTTTTCTGTCATAACGTGCTGGCGAACCATTGGTGAGATTATGTACAGTATCAGCCCAACGGCCCCTCATCTAGGACTTGGTCAATGAAGTCAAGTGTGTATGCAGTGTAACTAGAATTCGGTGTGCGAACAAGTGTGGTGTGTCGAAATTATTGAAAGGCTATTGATATAACACTCCGCTTCTTTTCCATTTCTTTTCTCAAATGTCACGCATTAAATTTATGTTAAATTCCTCTATTGATTTGTCTACGATATCGACATCATTTATACCATCCAAAGCCAGATCTCCACACATTCGGCGATGGCGCCTGAAGATGCGCGCAAACAGTCCACAGGCGTGTGGGGCACAAACATGCCGAAAGACAAGGCTGCGTGGGATCAAAGTCGAGAAGAAATATATCGGCTGTACATTCTCGACGATCTGTCACTCAAAGGTGTCAAACACGCCCTTGAGACAAAACATGGATTCCCCGAATTCAGGTACGTCCCACTTTACTAGAAGCCCTAAGAAATGCAGCAGACTCTAACAAGAGGTTTCTAGACTGAGAGACTATGAAATCGTCCTGCGAGACTATTTCAAGTTTCGCAAGAACCTGCGAAGCCAAGATTGGCAAGCTGTTGCCATTCATCGTGAACAAAGACTCCAGCGCGGGGAGCAGTCAGACGTCTATCTGTACGGATGTCTTCTAGAGAAGGCGCGTGTCGATAGGGCAGTGCGCAGATCTAGGCACAAATGGAAGCTGCCCTACCGAGTTCGATCAGGTATTCCAGAATCGTTCTCATGTTGATTGTTGCTGTGTGCTGATCAAACTTAGACCCAGTGCCTCCACTGCCAGATGGAGTTACAATACAAACACCCTCTCCGGTAGTGCCAAGAGAAAGTGTACCCCCGCGGACGATTGCTGCATCGGATGCTCAGTTTCCTCATGGCCATTACAACAGTCAGCTGATGCTGACGGAATCATCGCACCTCAACACTGCGCCTGCCATGATCACCACTAGGTGGCAAATACCTGTCAAACTATCCGTTCAGGAGATGAGACTTCATATTCCCTTTACTCAGTTCATTGAAACAACAGCGATGGCAATCTGTAAGCATTGCAACCTATATCTATCATATTCGACTAACCTCCAAGCAGATAAACTTGCAATGCCAACGCCAAGTGCTCAATCTTCGACAGCCTCCGTGCAGTCTCCTGTCATACCAAACCTCCCCCATTTCATCAACATACTGGGGCACTCTCCGCACATGCAGTTTTCAGAGCAGACATCAACCTTGACTGGCCCATTGAGAGAGACGATAGAACGACACCTCCACAGCCGAGCAGCTCTGCGCAGCATGAAATCGCTCAGTGGGAGATTTCCGTTTGAGCGGATCATGTACTTGTTTTCAATGATGTCCAACAAGAAATCTATTCACAAAGATGATGTCCTCGATCTCTTCGAGTGGATAGAGTCTGCTGAAGTTGATGTCTTGAAATCACTCTTTGCCCTTCCATTGCCGACCATGACAGCTGCTTGGGAATTTCTCATTGAGCAATCAACTCTTCCCGCACACCCAATAGCCTTTCAAAAGCTTGTGGAAGTCAGCTTGTTGATCCGTAATGGACAATGGCTCAAGGCAAGAGCAGGTGATATCCTAGGTTTAGCTATATGGCTAGGGCTAAATGGCTTGACGCGTCGTTTATTACATCTAGGCCTATCCCCAAACGCCGAATTCACGGTTACTGATTATAGTATGCCATTGCGGGGACATTCTTCCGAGCTTTTCCTTCACGGCACGCCGTTGGAGGCTGCAATCAGTTGTGCAAATCCCGCGGCAGTTGGATTGCTGATTGAATACTGCGCTGAACTTCACCATGGCGTTCTATATCACATTTTTGGCCCGTACACCCACCCCGACCCAGAATTCCTTGCGGGCATGTTCCATTGTCTCCGTTTGTTGCTGGAGGCAGGAGCACCTGCAGACACCTGGCGATTTGGAGGGCCGATGGAAGGGAGTTTGCTCTCAAAGCTTGGGTGGGCGGACGGACGCGCATACCAATTTCTTGACATGCTATGGCAGAAGTCCTACAGTCATTCAATTTGGAAGCAAACCTTCAATCTTGCTTTACAGTATAGCGAAAGGATGAAGACTTCGCTCACTGTGGCAGGACTGTGTAATGCAGCTTCTCTTGGCCACAAGGAGCTCCTGCAACACATGGCCGATCGAACCGACCTATCAAGCCGAGAACAGCTCCTAATTTGCGAGATTGCTCTTTCTGAGGCAGCTCATGAAGGCGATTGGAACGCTTGTCAGAGCTTTCTCCAGATTGGCGTGGATCCAAATGTTGAAAACTACGGCACGGAGTTTTCCAAATCAGCTGATGTTGGCGGTCTTCACTTTCATCGTCTTGATCTCTTAATCAAACCAAGAGCATGGTCTTTTGAGAAACGCACTCCAGTTTATGGCGCGCTGAAAAGAGGCAATATGCCTCTATTGGATTTGTTTCTCGAGGCGGGCGCCGACATCAACCGATACAATATCCTGGACGCTCTTTTCAATGGTGATGCCTACAGCAAGTTCTGGACCAAATCTCCTTCTGTCACGTGTCCAGAAGGGGAGATGGCTGCCGATTGCATTCCTGCAGCACAGTGCCTTGCTTCATCCAAACTGGAACAAACCTTCGACTTCCTTATTGGAGCCGGCCTGGATTTCCAAGCTCATGGCAAAGAGGCCATGGCCAGAGCGATGCTGACATATGTTGATTCTGAGGTCCTTTTTCTGCAGTGGAACTGGCTGCACTCCAAAGGTGTCAATTGGGACTTTGAACTGGAAGGACTCAATCTGATCCACTTTGCACTAAGATTTTGGTATCATTCGGCCGTGTTGGACGTCGTCGAGTTCCTTGTGTCTCGCGGCGTGAGCATCCATTCAAACCCGTGTAGGATGGGACATACGATGCTTCATGACGCTGTGAGCAATGCCTTTTGCGAACTTGACGTTATTGATTTCCTCTTGGCCAATGGCGTTGATGTGCACCGTTGCACTCAACAGGGTGAGACAGTCCTGGATGTGATTTTTGCTTGTCGACGATGTTACAGCAATAAAGGTGCCATCTGCAGAAGGTTGCTTCAGCTTGGTGCTCCCCTTATCCCACCTCAGCAAGCCCTTGGGGAAGTAGTCCAACTTCCTATTCTGTCTCTTTTATTAGCGGTTCCGGAGATAGAAGACTCTCTGATCCTGCCGTTCATTGGCGCCGCCAGGTGCGCTACATTGTGTCACGACGCAGAATTTGCAACGGAAATTGAACATGGGTTTCATGAAATCCATGATTGGTCACGAGAACGCAGCCCCTTGCAAGCTGCAATCACCGCCCGTCGTTTCATTCTAGCCAAGGAGCTACTACGCCGCGGGGCAGGTGAACGATATTTTATCTCGCCTTTGGTTACGGCCCTACAGTCGACAATTGTAGTTTGTGCGCGAACTCCTGATGACCCCTCTTCAATAGAGTTCCTGAGACTTTTGATTGATTCAAAAGCGGAGATAAATGCCCATGCGGGAGATGGGCTTTGTGCGTTGCATCATGCTGCCGTAACAGGTTCACTGAACATTTTGGGTACACTGCTCGAGAATGGAGCCGATCCGAATGTTTTGGTGAAGATAGTACACTTCAAACTGTGCAGACGACTGAAAACAGACAAAGGCCCCTCGTATGAAGACGACGATTACAACTTCTTCTACCGCCACCCTTCACAGGCTCACTTGGAAGTTGACGAAATCTACGAATATGATGATCTAGGCCGTCCACTATTTATGCACCCATCCATACGATGTATCGACAAACTTGCGCCTCTCTGGGTACCCCGAGCGCTAGACCTAGCTGCAATGGAGGGAAGGTTGGACGTTATTCAGATGTTGCTGAACGCGGGAGGAATCAGCGGCCATTCACTGATTGGCCCCTACGATGGAGCGATAGAATGTGCCAACGAGCATCGGCATCACGCAATTGCCTGCCTTTTGCAAGAGGCAAACCTGCAAGCGCTCAATGGCGGTGCATCATTTCAAGATGGTTTTCCACGTCCCGAGCGATTCAGCCTCCCTCTGCGGTACTAAGTATCGAGTGATCCTTCTTTTGCTGCATCCGATAGAAGTGGCAAAGCTCATCTCCTGTACATTTCTTATTGAGAATTTCGGATAGAAAAATACATATTTCCTATGCTTCAAAGCTCATGAGACCTTGCTTTACAGAATTGACCCCTTGTACGAATGATCGTCGTGCATGGCTCGCCATGCTCTAATCCTCTTCCGTTTCTTTTCATTCGTGTCAAATTTTGCTCTGATACTTCCTTTGTGTACTGGCGGTGCTTCAAATGATTCATAGCGTCAATCAACGTCTTTGCAAATCACCATGCCTTGGGTCTTCTCTTTCTCGGGCGGCAATAACGGTGTTGGTAACTTCAGGCTCGACAACTGGGGCGGGGCGACCTATTCGATTGTCTTCGTTATGTTGTGATGCTTGAAGCGTCATTTTATTCATCTGGTCCGAGTATCTCAAGTTGACGCGAGTCGACTGTGCCATTTCCCGCATACCGCTCGTCTTGTGGAGGCCCTGTCCGTTTGATGGGTATTCTAATCCGTGGTACAGAGTGGCAAGAGTTGAGCCTTTCCATAAAGGCCTCCGACGATTGGTAAACATGACAATGAGCATGAATATGATGCCCAAGACTTCCAAGAATATGGGTAATGTCATCCATTCCCAGCGCACATGAACCGTGGCTTGATACGTAATGAAATGACCCGATACTGACTCTTGTTTGTCGTCATAATAGAGACTATTCAGAGCTTCTGAAAGTGCTCCGGTTATGTTTCCCAAGCTTTGGGATGATATCCTATTCAGAATGTCCTCTCCGGATGTGTTGTTTGCTCCGTGGTAGGAAAGTGATGAAGCTTGACTGTCTTGACCCTTTGCAGAGTGTGTAAAGTTCAATGTAGAGGCACTGGCGAGCCGGCTCACAATGTCGCTTCCTAGGGAAAGATGGTCGGTCGTGGTACAGAACGACGCTGTTGCAGAGTCTAGGAGATATGGAGTATTGGCGAATTGTCCCGAAATGGCCTGGAAGCTCGGTGTTTCTTGACCGGGGGTCCAGCACCAGCTGGTCTCTCCGAGTATCATATCTGCTGCCTCATCTTGGTAAAAGTGTCCGTAATGCGTCTCCAGTATCTGAGTCAAGGTCTGCCCTGCCACAACACTCACGTTGTATTTTCTCTGGCACAGCGAGATGACCGAGTGTTCAAGAATTTCCGGCTTCCTTCTTCGCTTGTTGATATCAGATCCAGAGAATCGGGCGTGTCCAAGAGCAACGATTGGATTATTCACCCCAAGATAAGTGCCTTGGCTTATACTTCCATTGAATATATGCAAAGGTGCCATGATCTCAACAGGTAGGGTGGTTACACGATCCGGTTCCTCTCCAGCGAGGTTCACGGCAAGGGGACCACGACCTCCACTCAGGGAAAACTGTATGGGATAGTTCAGTGGAGTTGTCGCATTTTCAATATGAATCTCGCAGGTTCGTGAGCTTGTTTTGCGGTCTCCGAGTGATGCAAAGGTTTCGTAGATACTGTCAAAGTCTGTTTCGTTGTACGCAATGTCGCAATTTGTCAATTCGATACTTGCCGGATCAGCGATGGTCTGAGACTTAACGCACCAACCCAAAGATGAAAAAGGATCCCAGGTGCAGTTTCCAGTCGGGCAGTGGGCAGTCCGTTCATATATGGCTTGTCGATTCCAGAACGCGCTGTTGATGGATTCAATGACATCGTTTTGACCATCTGATGATGTGTTGTAGGAAAAGTACCTCGCCGGGTCGGATTACATCCCCGTCCAGGCCTCGTTGCCTTTTGTTGAGACAGGATCTGAAGAAACAAGAATGACTTGCTGTACAAAGGGATCAAGTGCGAGAGCAATAATTATGACGATGGCGCCAAGTGATCCTACTGAGAAAATTGTCCTTCCCAGCAGCATCTGGACGGATCCCAGAGGGCCTTTGCTCGCCTCGTCCAAAACCTCGAAATCGTCCAGTCGCTTTTTCGGTCCATAATACCAACTCCATTTGGCCTGTCCAAGAGCTGCAGAGACTCCATACAAGAGAGATGACTTTGCCGCAGCCGACAATGTTGAAACAATAGCGTTAAGGTTCACTATATCGGGAAGTTCAGGCACAGGCCGGCCACTGTGATGAGTCATTAGCAATTACATATCAAGACGGACAAGAAATCATACTCAAACTCTCTCAAGACTATGACCATGGCAATCAGGCAGAGACCCGAAAAAGACATAGCCATGATTTCCGACGTCCAGCTGTCTTCAAAATGTCGGCTCAATGTGGCATAAACGGAGCCTTTCGATTTCTTGGGCATCGCGTTCGATGTAGATATCTTTGCCTCTCTGTGGCTTGACAACAGATTCTCCTCCATCTCATGTCTTTGTTGATCCGGCAAAGACTGCTCTGACCTCGTGCGAGAGCTATCTAGCAGAGATAGCTCCATTTCACCAGGCGTTTGGTTATGAGATAGCTCCATTTCACCAGGCGTTTGGTTATGAGGTAACCTGGGTGAGAGCGATGCCATGACTATAAAATTTGAATGGAATCATTCAAGTGTGTTGCTTTGGATCATATTCAACCTTGCAGATGTGTCTGTAAACGTGAAATGTCCTTCTTTTCACCATCATTCCCAGCTCTTAATAAAGCATCAACGCACAAGGCTGCATCCCACCAAAGGCTGTGCCCCTGCACCTCACGGTTTGCTGTCATCTTCGTATGAAGAAGTATTGTGCCACCCCCACGATAGGGGTCTGATTGGTCAGACACCATGAGCGTACAGCAGTAGCTCCGCTGTGCCACGCGACATCCCGCCAACCTTGCTCATGCGATCGGCAAAATAATTCTTTTCCAACCCATTCAAGCCTTTTCGGTCTGATCTCTTGCGTTTCAAATTTACAAGCTTTGATGTACCGCCACAACGAATGCGCCTGATAGGCAAATTGTTCGAGTATCTGCTTCCACCATTGACTTGTTGGCATCTCGGCAGCTTTGATGAGCTTTCACTATTCAGCACGTGGTATAAATACAGAGTATAGTAGACGAGTAGCTGCAGTCAGCTTTAATGCGGACAAAAAGACACACATGCACCATGACGTGACACAAAGGGCACCACAGAGAGCCGGGGCTTACACGGACCGATGTAACTCTCTAAACAAATATGATTTCAATTTCTATTCCCTCGTGATACTACTCAATCAATGTATCATGCAATGAATCTCATTCCTAGCCAAGTTACGACTCGAGTCAGTTTAATTGATCATACCAGTATATGCACTCTGATTCTAGCATTGGTACACCCCACAAATGGTTAAATTACAGCTAGAATGCATCGTGGTAGTTCAGTCCAAGCAAGATCCCGGTTCTTAAAATAGAATATTAAAGGAAGCGGAGACATGAGTGCAATATGATCACCTAGTGCGAAAAGCTTTGGCATTTTTCCAAGCATCATTGGTGCAAAATGCAACACCAATTATGAGAATTTCGGCGACTAGTATAGTAGCAAACGGGCTAAGGTGTGGAGGCCGAGGTTCAACGACTGTAGCGGCGGCCACTAAAGGGGGCCCGGCGATGTTCCGTCGGCAGAATTGCGTGCATAGCGCCCGTTGCGGTGCAATTGTCTTGCCGAACATCTAGAATAAAGAAAGCTCAAAATCATATTTCGATATCCTATTGAGAGTATGTTTGTCAGTTTTCGACCTTGCCAAGGTGCCGCTCAATTGCAAAATGGATGGCCTTCCCGAGTCAATGGAGGCGATTGCCCTGTTCGAATATGGACAACCATCAAGTTACCAAAAGACCAGTCTCAAGACTCCCTCTATTAACCAGCCAAATGAGGTTTTAATCAAGGTTCATGCCACATCCATTAATCCTATAGACGTAAAGATGGCATCAGGCATGGCAAAAAGAATACAACTGGCAGCGTAAGGGATCGAAAACTCAACCATCAACATACCGGCCTGACACCAGTTCCAGGTTTCCTTACAAGCTCGGATTCGATGTCGCGGGCACCATTGTCGCCGTTGGGTCGACAGTAAAGACGTTGAAAGTCGGTGACGAGGTCTACTCTCGAGTTCCAAACACCTACAGAGGCACTGTCGCAGAATACGCGCTATCGACCGAAGAGGCCACGGCCGTCAAGCCTCCCAGTCTTAGCTTTGAGGATGCGGCGAGTATCCCGTTGGCAGGGCTCACTGCATTGCAGTGTATGGAATACGCAAATGAGCACCTACCTGGTGGGCTAGAGGGCAAAACAGTCTTTATACCGGCTGGCCTAAGCGGAACCGGGAGCTTTGCCGTGCAACTTGCGCGCAACGTGTTCAAGGCCGCAAGAGTTGTCACGACCGTCTCCACAAAAAAGATTTCCAAGGCTCAGGGGTTTCTCGGCCCAGACGTGGAGCTGATAGACTACACAAAAGAGGACGTGGCGAAGCGTGTAGGATCCGAGACTGTCGATTACTTTTTCGACACCATGGGTGACACGACAACCCATCTTCCCATCATGAAACAAGGTGGTGTTATTGTCAGCATATCGACCATTCCGGCTGGGACCAAGATGAAGGGCCACGCGCCAGACATGCCCTTTCTTGCAGAGAAACTCTTAAATTGCGCAGACAAGTTTTACACTTGGCGCTGCAACTTTGCCGGGGTTCACTACACTTATTTGTTCATGAAACCTTCAGCAGATGGCTTGAATCAGTATTCACGCTATGTGCAAGATGGCCAGGTGAAACCCCTCGTGGGAAAGGTGGCAAGCTTGCAAGATTTGGATGCAATCCGGAGCGGATGCCAAGAAATATTTGATGGAAAGGGAGGTTTAGGAAAATTTGTCATAACAATGAGTCAATAAAAATAAGTCAAATTCTAATTCTGCTTTGGGCTTCTACCGCTCATGAATCTATGTCTATACCCAACCTTCTATATCTATTTTCACATTTTCTATTTCAAGAAGAGAATCCGTACGTGTTCCACTTCTCAAGAACCTTATTTTGAATCTCCGCAGGGAAGGAGTTCTTAAGATCAGCAGCCTCCCAGTTCTTTCCCGTGGTGTACTCAACAGGCAGCAGCGCATCCGAAACAACCTTGCCGCCCCGGTTGAACGGACCGTTGCCGTGCGACATGTACGGGATCAGGGGGAAACCAGCCACATCCTCGAAAAAGACCTCGTCAGTGCCAGGGCGGCAGCGCGTGCAGAAGGCCCAGATGACATCCTTAAAGTCGTAGATATCAATGTCCTCGCCGACCAACACCAAGCGGTGGATCGTGTAGCCGACCTTGTGGCGGAAGACCGCGTCGCCGACCTGCTGGCAGAGCTCCTGTCTGCTCAACTTGGAGGCACGCAGTGCTTCCGTGTCCACCTTGAGGGCAACCCAGGTGACTTGCGACTCAAAGGGCGAGAATGCCTCCTTGATTGGGAGACCCTTGGACTTGCAGAGGAATCCAATCTCGGCGGCCGCGAGAGGGCCAATCATGGTGTGCTGTGATCAGTTAGCTTTTGAGCATTTGCGTTGTCTTTAGCTGGGCTTACCGTTTCGTCAGTCAGTCTCCCGCAGTTGGAGACTGGCATGATGGCATCTTTGCGGTGTGTGATGAGCTCGACGTTGTACTTGGGACCACTGTGAGTGTCTCCCGGGAACACATAACTTGGATGAATGTTAGCCCTAGCTGTTTTCTTGACTCGGAGCATGGAACTTACCCGTGCATCTCTCCAAAAGGTCCTTCTGGGACAGTCTCCGTGATAGAGCAGGTTCCCTCAAACACAATCTCAGCGTTGGCTGGCACATACAAGCCGTTGGTGTCGCATTTGACAACCTCCAAGGGTGCGCCGACGAGCGAGCCAATGTACTCGGCTTCCGAGAGACCATCGGGGAGTGGCATGCTGGCCGCCATGATGGCAGCTGGGGGAACACCAAAACACAGCGCCCAAGGCATGTCTTTTCCCTCCTTCTTCCACATCTGGTGGATCTGCCAGATATGCTGGGGCTCAATGACCAGTCCTGCAAGCTCATTCTTTCCGTGCACCATGGCGCGGGCAATGGACCAGTTGGTCCACTTTCCATCGGGCGACTGAACAACGTGCATTCCAAAAGTCTGGATGTACTTGCCTCCGTCGTCCTTGTGCAGCATGGGCGATGGGAGCTTGTTGAGGTCAAACTGGTCCTTTGTGAGTCGGAACTCCTTGCACGGGCCGGTCTCGACAGCAACAGGAGGGATGGGCGTGGCCGCCTTGGCAGTAATCATCTTGTCCAGGATATCCTTCAGAGAGGCGGTGGGCTCAAGTCCGAGATGCCGGGCCATTCTTCCGTATCTCTGCTTGGGGTTGGGTCTGAGTGAGTTGGGAGCGCCGAGGATTCGCCACAGTCCATTCTCGTCTTGACCCTTCAAGTTGTTGAATAGAGGGGCTTTTTCGTTGTTTTCGACTACTTTGCGAATAATGGCGCCGACTTCGAGATTTGGGTCGCATTCTTCATTGATCTCGACCAAGTCCCCATCGTCCTTGAGGCTTTGGACAAAGGCCCTAAAATCCATAGAGGGGTTTGCTAAGGCGGACATTATTGATATCGATCTTTGTTTTCTTGTATCGTAGCTTTGTGTTGGGTCTTGATGTGTGTATGTCTTCTTGGCATAGAAATACCCCTGGGATAAACGAGCGTCTGTCTTCATATATATCTACGACTGAAACCCGATTATACCCTCATCCGGAGCCGGGGTCCACTTATTCGTGCAATGGCTCCGAAGCCACCGAGTCCTCCGAGGCACCCGAGCTCTCCGTTCTGAGGGTCTCGGACTTCCCGCCCTGATGTTTGTAGGACTTCGCGCAGCGAGAGAGGATCCATCAGTGGCACTTGGGGCTCACTGGTGCCAATGCAGGCGAACTATCAGTGTGGATCGCCTTGCTGCACATGTTGCCATCCGAACGTCTCCGACTCCGAGACAATATGTCATTGAACCCAAACTATCTCGCGAAAATGAATAAATATCCAAGACTTGTATCCTTCATCTTGATTATTGGACCATTATCTTATCCACAAAGAGTTCTTTGCAATTCACTACACACTACAAACAAGATTGACCATTACAAAAGAAAACTTTCAAAGCTCGAGAACTTCAACACCTTCAGAAAACATACACCATCATGGCAAGATCACCAGAGAGGAAAAGAATTATTGTCGCCATTACCGGCGCTACAGGCGCTCAAATCGGCATTCAAATCTTGAAGACACTTCGGGGTCTCAATGTGGAAACACACCTCATCATCAGCAAGTGGGCGGGGGAGACCATCAAATACGAGACAGACTACACCACAGCAACGGTGCGCGCGCTGGCAGACTATTCATACAATGCGCACGACTTGGCGGCGCCCATCTCGAGCGGCTCCTACAAGGTGGACGGCATGATTATTGCCCCCTGCTCAGTCAAGACGCTGGCTGCCATCAATGCTGGCATTTGCGACGACTTGATCACGCGGGCCGCCGACGTGTGTCTCAAGGAGCGGAGGAGGGTTGTGCTGTCTGTCAGAGAAACTCCCCTCAGCGAAATCCATCTCAGAAATATGCTCGACGTTTCGAGGGCGGGTGCTATTATTGCACCACCCGTCATGGCGCTATACACGCGCCCTTCTTCAATTGAAGATGTGATTACTCAGATGGTCGGCCGGTTACTCGATTTATTCGATTTGGATGCCCGGAACTTTGAAAGATGGGAAGGAATGCAGAAGGAAGTGTAATGCTATTTTTGAGTTTGTTAATGATACCCAATAAAATGAATATGCTCGTGTGTGAAGCTACCTAGTAGCCAGTGATGGGTGACATTCAAGTGTGAGACGGGATGCTACTGGTATGTCATTCGTACAATGTCTGAATTTGGACGACGATCTAATTGCTTCATAGGTCGGACTTTGCTTCACCACTATTCCATATCCCGTTCCAACTACCGATCTTTAGGTGTTCTGGGAGACTATGCCAACATTCTCCCGTGTCGCGCGACTCAGTAACCTCTAAAGGGGCCCCACCACGATAGCGTCGACGCCAGTTTTGCTGGCGCCACTATCGCGCCCTTATATCTCGCTGCTCTCCTACTCTCGGTCTCGTTCGGATTACTCGGGAATGTATTCTCAATGACCTGATGATGCAGAATCCGATGAGCTCTCCATCACCAGCGACACCTCGGACTGGCGATGCCACACCAATCCCCCCTGGCAGTTTGAAGGATGTGCTCCGGAGACGGCAGCAAGGCCGCAACTCAAGATCGTGTCTTCCTTGCAGGGAGAGGAAAGTAAAGTGCGATCATGAATTGCCTTGTGGGACTTGCACCAAGCGCGGCCATGCGGATCTATGTTCTTATCCGAGCAGCGAGCAGTCAAATGGAACGAGCAGAACCTCAAACAGTGCGCGATGGTCCAGATCACGGCGGTCCACTCCGATCGCTGAGACTTTTGACAATGGATTGCTCTCTTCGGCGAATGGCACTCTGCAAGTTACCAACGGCATCGGATCACTCGGTTCAGCGTCAGATGAAGTTGGTCGATCAGCTGCGACTGCATCGCCAACTGGAAATCCCGGGCCAGGAGACTTGGGAAATGCTTCCGTTAGTTCACCAATTAGAGAACAACTGAGTTCTTCTCGGAGCGATAATCCTCAGCGAAGTGCTTATGAAAACGGAGTCCGACCTCTTCTGGGCTTAGAGACAGACAATGAGGACTCGCCATCGCTCCCCCGTGTAAACACCAAGATTTTATATGAATCACTGCCTGGTAATCAAGACATGATTAGGCTGTTCGAGACACATCGCTTGCGATGCCATCCCTTCCATATTATTACTTACAATATTGAAGAGCTGCAAACAAAGCTCAGTAAGCTGATAGTCAGCCGGAACAATTCGACCAATCTTCCAAATACTCAAGCACAAGACCTTCGATGGATTTGCCTTTTACATGCAATTTTCGCTGCAGGAGCACAAGCTTCAGATTTACCACTGGAGCAGCAGACAAGTCTATCTGATCGCCACAGTAAGTAATCGAGATGAATGCAATCTATAATCATGAAAGACTAATATCATTCAGCACAACATGCCTTTGATTGTTTGAATGCTTCTAACTTTCTTGAGTATCCGTTCAAGGAAGCTTTACAGGCCCTCCTGCTGCTGGGTTACGTGCTTCAGAACAATATGCGACCGCAGGCTGCTTGGATATTACAAGGCAGTGCCATTCGTCTAGCTTCGACCCTTGGCATTCAGAGATCTGATAATCAGGCGAGGCGAATGCGCGTCCCTCCCGGTGAAGCAAAGTCATTACGGTACGTAGACCTCGGTTCTGTAAAATCTACGGTGCTAACTATATGAATAGTCTCGCAGTTGTCTGGCAAGACGCTCTACTTTCACTCGCATTCGACCGGGCACCTGCTTCATACGAGTTCGACTTTGACGAGGACTTGATACCTCTAACGTCGACTCCGTTGACCGGGACCATAACCTATCGCCAGGGCATGAATTGGATCAGTCACCTGAGCCTTCGATACCTACCACTTCGAGACAGGCGAAAATCTCCACCATCAATCGATCCATCCTTGGTGTGGCAAGACCTAGAGATGATCGAGGCCAACATTCTTCCCCACCTGGGTGACATTCGACAATGCAGCACCATTCGCGAGATTCAAGAATACTACTTGTTCCGGTTGCACCGCAACTTCTTTGCAGCGACGGTATGTCGGAGCCTAGTATCGCCCAGTTACGCCTCGACTATCGCGCCAGAGCTGCGGTCCTTTGTAGTATCCCGCGTCCAAAACGCGTTGAGGCAAAGCGCACAGGCATACTTGGATATACGCAGCCTATCAGTCTACGCAATGCGCTCGTGGGCCTTTATCCATAGTGGCCTGGCTTCCGTCTTGCTTCTCAGTCTTATACCTGACACGAGATGCGACACGGAAACGAGAAGACTGCAGGATGAGTTTATACAAGAGCTATCTGATAATGGAAAGACGAGCGCGAACGCGAATGATGCATCAGTCAACTTTCTTTCTGCTACTCTGAAAAAGGCACTCAAAGCTCTTGTAGATCTCCGGCGTCTAGCTGAGCAAGAAAATACTCGCCCTGTGACGAGACAAAGACCAACCAATGCCGACGTTTCCGTCACCCAACCTCAGGTCAATGATGGACTCGCACCGGCAGATGCGCCCATGGAAGGCGGTGATATTATGCAAGCACCCGAGTATATATCCCTCCCACTCCAATTTCGCGTCGCTTCTAGCATTAACAGCTTCATTCAGCATTTGGTCTTCGGCCGACTGGGGCTTCCCCACGGATTACGATATGTCACCACTCGAGGCATTTGACTATATCATGTCTGATGGCTTCAATGCCGGACCAGGTTTCAATCTTTCCATGTGAATCAAAGCCATTGCTTTCGAGGAGAACTCTCAATACCAATGAAAAAAAACACCAGATTTGTGTTTAAAAGCGCCGTCATTTCGCTTATGAACCATCTGAGTCGCAGCAAGGGGGCTGCGGCATTCCATACAGAAAGGCAATGAATGATAGCCCCAACAGCAGCTGTTTTGTCGCGAAATGTCGTGATCACACATGGCAATGTTCTCAACATAGGTACCTACATGAATACAATAGACATGAAACCAGTTGCTAACAATTATGTGGTATAGCTCCAAGTAGCTGTAGCTCTGGTGCAAGGTTGCATGCATACTGCATGTCATGCGGCAGGGGCATTGCTGTCGGCTATCAAACAAAAGCCAAGGCCGCTTTTTCTGCGAAATCTCCAACAACCTACGTATATCCATGACATCGACTCCAACCTAGGTTATTTTATAGATTTTACATCATTTACTACAACTTTGGCTTCCCCGGAGTCTTTGGCCGCAGCCGTACCAGCGCTTCTTGGGATGCAGAAAGTATCAAGCGGCCACTCTTCATATCCCACATGCGCTGAGAGACCATAACCCGCCCGTCGGCGCCCCACGTCGTATCACGCTCGATAACGATCCACTCGTCCACGCGGGCCTGGGGATCATGGAACGAGACATTGTGCGTCAGGCTGGTGCCCAGAGTTATGTTCTTCATTCCCTTGCCGACCGCCATGGGGTTCGCCGCCAGGGCCGCCCCAAAGGCGAACTCGTCCGACGCGTACGCGAGCGCCGCCAGGTGCAGCGCGTGGCTGTCGCCCGATAGGGGCGGCGCGCGGACAAAGCCCCAGAGCCGAAACGACGACGGGTCTTCCGACATGTCCATCCTCAGGGGCCGCCAGTCAAAGGGAAAGTCGGCGGCCTCGAGCTTGTTGATGTTGACGGACTTGTCCAGCATCGACGTCTGCATCATCTTCATTGCGCTCGGGTCGACGTCATCCGGGCCCTCGCCGTCCAGGTCGGGCTTGGGTGTTCCGTACCTCAATACGTTGCCGCTAGGTCTCGCTGCGTTCTGGAAGGAGACCACGGCGATGAATACACAGTTTTGAGGGGCTTCTTGGTATGCGCGCACAGTACGTGTCGCATAGGCACGCCCATCTGCGGTTTTGTCGACTTCATACTTGATATCCTTGCCAGGACTCGCCGGGGCCAGGAAGGACGACTGCAACGAGTACGGTTTGAAGGTGTTGGCTACCGTTGCCGTCGCGGCCGAGACGGATTGCGCAATCAGGAGGCCACCAAGAACTGATCGCGCATTTGCGTGAGAGGCCAAAGGCCTGGACAGTTGTGAGAACGTATCACCTCTGTATGGATTGGGCTTTCCTCCTTACTTTGCATTTGTGAATGTTGGAACACCAGTCTCCGGCACTTGCATCACGGCAACGATCCCTTCGATGAGAGCTGGTGCTGGCATTGTGACTGGTGCAGATTCACCATGCGTACTTTGTTGACAAGATGTAATAGCACTTTGAGCAGTCGTCTGAATAGGAACCACGCATCCAAGTCAAAAGCGTCATTAGCAAGTCTTCATGACAAATACAGCATCCGACATCTTCATTAGTCGAAGAAACTTGAGAAATGTAGACTTCTGGCTGTCAGCCCCCTCCCCTGTCATGTCGACCCTTGCCATAACGCCATAGAGTGGGTTCGCCGGTTGGTACTCTGGAGTCTGTGGAGTCACTGTACTAAATAAAGTATACAGTGAAGGCGCTGGCTTGGCTGGGGCACTCTTCGTCTTTCAACCTCTCAATAGTCACAATCACTGTGCCGCAAAGGAAGCCCTTCTCTCGACATCCCCGTCTCCTTTTCCTTTTCTTAATTACTCAATCACTCTCTTGGCAATTTTTATGATTAAAGCGGAGGACTTCGTCTTTCGATACCAGGACTGTTGTAATACTTTGATTCTGATTGGTACCTGAAGGCTTAAGCTAGGTCTTTACAGAACTGCGCCATGGACTTGCTTGGAGTTGTGCTTGTCGGCGCAAAATACCTTGCCTTGATATTGGTCCCTTACGTGCGGTCCCCGATTCCAACACGGCAAAGTAGAATATTGACAATTTTTCTAGGTCCTGCTCGTACTTGGTTATCGAGTATTCTTTCATCCCCTGAGTAAATATCCTGGCCCAATAATTGCAAAATGGACAAATGCATACCCGGGGTTCTACGCTGTTCTTATGCGTCTTCACTTGCGCACATATCTTGATATGAAGAAATACGGTATGGCCTAATGTGTCAAATCTTATTTACGTTGCTAACTTGATGGTAGGCCCTGTGTTGCGCCACGGCCCAAACAAGCTGATATTCAACTCGGCTGAAGCTCTCCAAGGTGATCAAACCCGATCCTCTACTTAGGCGTTCCCCGCGCTGACTCGAATCTGAAGACATATACAACAATGAAAAGGTTGGCAAATCCCGCATCTACAATTTGACGGTGATTTCTGGCAAGCCCAGCATTTTCAATGTATTGGACAAGAGCCAGCACAGGATCAAGCGAAAGCTCATTGGGCAGGCCGTTTCAGACAAAGCGATGCGTGCTTTTGAGCCGACCATGGCAGAACAGGTCGACATCTTCATAGGCCAGCTCACAGAGTGCTCCGAGAAGGAAGTACACACAAACATGACGGAGCGTTTCAAGTGCCTAGGCATGGACACTGTCGGTCTCTTGGCCTTTGGGTTTCCCTTGAACATGCAGACGGACCCAACCTATCGATTTGTCATACGCGGGCTCAATGTCGGAGGGTACCAGAACCACTGCTTCATGCAATATCCGATGCTCAAGAAGCTGGGGCTTCACAAGATCTTGGTTCTTCTTGGCAAGAAGCAGAGGCAGAAGTACTTGGCCATGCTGCAGCTGATGATTGGAAGCCGCCTCGCAGAGGAACCGCATGCCAAGAATGATCTTTATTCTTCTGTCTTTGAACATCTCGACAATACAGCTGATGGGATTGCTACCAGCCAGCTATGGTCTGAAGCCTTGTTTCTGTTTCCAGCGGGTACGATTCCCTTTTCTTCACCTAAGACATAAGGCCTAATCCAGTATTGTCCAGGTGGCGATACAACGGCAACCGCTCTTAGCGCACTCTTTTTCTACCTTTCGCGGCACTCTGATGTGTATAGCAAACTGGCCCACGAAATCCGCAGTACCTTTAGCAGTGCCTCGGAAATCCGCGGGGGCTCGAAGCTCGCCGGTTGCAAGTATCTGCGTGCCTCTATTGACGAAGCCCTTCGCATGTCACCGTCCGTCAGTGGGACGCTCTGGCGGGAGCTGTCCAACAACCAGAAGGATACCGAACCATTCATCGTTGATGGGCATGTCATTCCTCCCGGGACGCAGGTCGGTGTGAGTACCTACTGCCTTCACCACAACGAAAAGTACTTTCCCCAGCCGTTTGAGTTCAGTCCCGAACGTTGGCTCGTCGAGGACGAGGCCGCTCTCAGGCTCATGAATTCGGCCTTTTGCCCATTCTCCATCGGCGCCCGTGCGTGTGCGGGCAAAGCCATGGCATACCTGGAGATGAGCCTCGTAGTGGCCAAGACTCTCTACAAGTTCGACTTTGACGCACCGCCAGGCGATCTGGGCAGAGTTGGTGCAGGTGTGGCGGGGAGGAGGGATGGTCGGGACAAGACGGACGAGTTTCAATTGTACGATATCTTTGCTGCCATGCACGACGGACCCAACTTGATATTCCGCCCTCGGGCAAATATCTAGGCGCCTGGATAGGCAGTGACCAACGCAGGATGGCGAGGGAGCAGAAATAGCAGAAAGCCTGGATCCATCCTGAGACAATATCCAATCTGCGGGCTTCGGATTGATATGGCATTGAGACTCACCAAAGCAAGAGGGGCAGAGGATCGGGGCTGCTCCGCCGAGCGCAACATTTGCTGCATGAACGAAGTACCTCGAGAAGAATTACGTTAGCGTGAAGAGTAACCTCTTCCTGTATCGTGGATACATATCCACAATCATAGACTATTTTGACTATGATCTATGTAGATAGAATGTTATTTGCTATGTCAACTACCATCCTGACGCGCGTGTTCATTTGCTTATTTTTCCTGAGTCTCACTCCTCCCACGAAATTCATCTTTGAGTACTCCGTAATTATTGGCCTATATTAACAATTCAGCTCTAGTCATCATTTCGTTGACATCATCCTGTATCTGAGTCCGAAGTCTCAGAGCTCTCGCAAGCATCGTAGTATCCGACCCAGACACGCTTAAGATACGTAGGAGCAGAGTCTACCCAAGCCCCCGGCATTTGAGGATGTTGTAGTTGCTCTTCGACCATACTCCAAAACTCTCCTGATAGTCTCTCTGGCATCAGGTCCCATTCTAGAACCCAGTCTTCCGGCTTCGGACCGTATTTGAATCCAGACAGCTGCATCCACTGATCCCATGGGTACCACCTTTCCCTCAATATTCTGTTCTTGCGAAACACTTTCATTTCATGTTTCCCATACCGACTCAGATCTATGCCGCAACTGTAGAGATCTTCTAACCAGTTCAGCATTACCCTTTCGATGTCCTCCTGCAGACGTTGAGGGCCCTCATTATCATCATCATAATAATAATAATATGGAGCCGGAATAAGGACGCCAAAGAATGGCGTGCTAAATGGGTAGCCATTGACACCACGCATATGGAGCGGTAGAGCATGAGGGTGCTGCTCAAAATGAACGTTGGCCTCTGATCTTATCATTTCATGGACCAAGGTCGTGAGTCTCGGATCAACATTGGGGCGGTACTTCTTCCAGTGGTACCCGAACGCGATAAGATTCAAAGGGCCAATTCCACTTTTCTCAAGGGCCTGGATCTGTTCAGTTGTCACAGTACCTCCATTGAATAGTAAAAACCGAAGTACGTCATCTCCATAATCCCACTGGACTTTGCCGTAGTCCAATCGTTCGCAGATATTGAGACCATTATGGTTTGGGGAATACACTGGCTGGAAGAACTCGAATTCCTCGACACATCTCGACATGTGATTATCTTTATTGTCGCCTTTTATTCCTTGTCGCGAACCAGGTCTCCAAGGGTTTAAATCGTCAATATCTTCGTATGCGCCGACAGAAGTCAAAAGGCGATCAAGTTCTGGCCAATTTGGAAGGTTTTCCTCTTCGTAGGTGATTCCTTCAATTGCATAGTGGGCAGGAGTCTCAGAGCCATAGAACCACTGTAAAGTTATATCAGCTCCCCACTGTAGCAATTGCTGTGCCATCCCAACATGACCAAAAAGACAAGCATACTGAGTGGATAAATTAGCTTCACTGCCAGAGAGCAAAAGGCAATGCGTACTCACATGGAGAAGACTCCAGCCATCTTTATCAATGTCATATATCGATGCCCTGCCGCTTCTGATGAGCCAGCCCAAGGCTTGCGTGTCACCATTCCGGACGTGATCAAAGACTTGATCGCCGTCGGGTCGAACGCAGTACGGCTTGAGATTCATCTGCCATCCGGAGGTTGAGTGAGTAATCCGTAGATCCCATGCTCGTTGGGATAACCAGGAGGGCGCTTCGAATCGGGTCATCCATCCTAAAATACTGTCAGCATGAACTCATGTCCTCGAACAAAAGCGTGGAAAGAAGTATGCCGGTACCGAAAAGTGTATTCCCATCCTCTTTACCACGACCCCATCCGACGTTGCCAAAAGCGGTACGCCAATGAGCAATGTGCAAAAAGCTGGTACGTGTTTCAGGTTGTTGAAATTTTACGATAGATGTGCTCCCATCTTCCTGTGATTGGATGCCCTTATCATCGTTTTCGCGAGGTGACTCGACCGAAACGTTTGATTCAAGCAATGAAGTGGACTCGAGTCGACGGAATATAATTTCGGGCTGAGATCTTGTGAGGGCACTGTCATTCATCTATCAGTAGGGGAATCGCGACTTCATATCAGAGTGCGTACACTAGGTAGGTCTGCTGCGCCAAGGTAAGGAGTCGGACTGCAGCCTGCATCCGATCTTGAAGCTTTTTCAGCGTATCCTTTTCGAGAATTACTCGAACTTTGGCTTTTCCTCTCTTTGATCTCCTGGCTGCCTGGAGGTTGACTGAAAGATGCCGCACCAGGTCTTCAAGATCCGTCACAGCCTTGCGGCAGTAGGCCAGTGCTAAATTCGAGGCTCTATCATTTGGGATAGGGGTTCCTGTATTGTTATAGTCGTCCTCGATGACTGTCAATATGGGCTCCAGGACCTCGATCTCAGTCATGAGATTGCGAATTGTGTCGGGGACATCTTGGATCTCGTCCCAAAGCTTCTTGAGCGTGAGCACGGCGCCGGCGACCTTGCCTGCTGTCTCTACGATTGCAATGCTACTTGCAACGAGCCCAACAAGCTCGGCCATTGTGATTGCTGTCGCAGACTTTTCTCATTGATCCTGGAAAATGGTTTTGAAAGGAAGGAAACAGAATCTTTTTCTGTTGGGATCTCAATCATGGGATTGTGTATAAGGCTGACAGGCACAGCCTGGGAGGGGTGTCTCCCTCCAATACTTGCATGAAGAGCGTGGCAGTGCCCGAGTGGCTGTGACTCGCAGGTGACATCTCTCCATTCGTCTTCAGCTCAATGTTCAGACTGCTGCGCAATTTTGCATGCATCAGTGGCTTTCAAATTGATATCTGTATTTGCTATAGCCCAATCAAATGAAACTTCTATGCCACTTCTAAAAGCACTATTCTATGCGTCGGAGGTATGCCAATGCATTTTCACACATTAATTAGTGGATTACTTGTACTGTTGTCTATTCATTTCAGTGTCAAACCGAGACTGGCGGATGGTATAGTATTATAGTTTAGCAGCTAGACTGGTCTTTTTCTTCTTGTTCTTCTTCTCCTTCTCAACCAATTGCCAGGCGAATTCGGCAAGCGGGCCCAATGATTCCGCGTGCTTGCGCGCTTGTTCACTGCTGGCCTGTTTGGTAGCAACGCGCGCGGCTATGCCCTGGCAAATGGCAGCAAGACGGAAAATGCTGAAAGCCATTCCCCAATTGATCTCAGACCGGGGATCCCACCCAGCTGTTTCGGCATACCATGCCATGATGGTCTCCGGGTCCGGTAGGCCTGGGGTTGCGCCGGGTTGGAAAGCATCAGACGTGGCGTACTTTTTGTCCCCCGGCATGACAGCCGTGTAGAAAGGGTTCATGATATTAGCCAGATCGCTGAGCGGGTGGCCGACAGTTGACATTTCCCAGTCAAGTATGCCAATGACAATGGGTTTCGTCTTGTGGAACACAATATTGTCAATCTTGTAATCACCGTGGATCAAACTCGACCGGTCGGTTGGCTGCTGCGACGCATCCGAGAAGAATGACATGAACTCGTCAAAGTGAGGCAGCTGCCCTACAGGTTTCCCCGTATCAGCATCGACGGCAGACGCTTGCGCTGCGCAGATGGTCTTCCAAGTAGCTAATTGCCGATCATAAAAACCATTGGAACGCCCGTAGCTAGCCAAACCGACAGCCTGTTGATCGACACGGTGCAGGCGCGCAAGTGTCTCTACAGCAGCGCGCCAAAGAGCGGAGCGCTCGGCCGGCGACGAGACGTCGGGCATGGCCGGATCCTCAATGATGCGACCATCGAGGAATGACATGATGTAAAAGGGTGTACCAATGACGGCCGGATCCTCGCAAAGGCAGTAGGCGCGCGGTACGGGCACATCGGTGGCGCCGGCGCCGAGGGCTGCAATGATGCGGTGCTCGCGCTCGACCTTGTGCGCTGCCTTGGAGAGCAGCTTTCCCGGCGGCTTCTTTCGCAGCACATATCGCGTACCCGAGGGCGATGTAAGTTGATATGTCGGATTGGACTGCCCAAAGCCAAACTGTAGTAACGCCAAGGATTAGCCATCTTGTCTTTCTTCCCCTTCGTTGGTCCTGCGCATTGCGCCTCTCGAGCAGGAAGAGCGCGTGGTCGTATTAAGGTGTACATAGACGGCACGACATACCTGCTTTACGTCCAGTGGCGTTTCGATCTCAGGTACATGCTTCTGAATATACCGCTCGAGCGACTTGACGTCGATAGGATGCCTCACACGGCCAGCCATGGTTGTTGTGTCGTGAGATGGTCTTCTCGTTCGTCGCAAGAAGGACAAGCTATATTCGCGTTGCTGGGTGCTGGATGCCCACTACTGAATCACATAAACACAATAGTCAAGCCAAATCAAGATCACAATAAAGACAAAAAGGTCCCCCAAGAGCCCATCGTTGACCGAGACGAAAAAGGCTATGCAAGGGGGAGACTGAGTAAAGTAATGGACAAACGGTGGGCAGAAACAAGAGTGAGATCTCGCGTAAACTGCCGAGGTAAGTATTAGGAGCTCCAGGTCTTATCACTCCGCTAAACAGCGGGCGGTTATCAGTAACCGTCGGCCCCGGAACTGGAGACTGGACCCCTTCCCTTTGCGGGGGAGGGGGTAAATCTGCGCTAAACGTTGCCGCGGATTTGCATCGAGGTTGCATAGGGAGTTTATATGGAAACTTGAGCCAGGGCACTGGTGATATACAGTACTCTTACATACCTAAACTTGGTTGCCAATTTCCACCAGTTCAATGGTAAAAGGAGCGCATAGGCAAGACTCACGGGCAGTTGCAAGTAGCCTGAACATATTGTTTCATCACCTGGCATTTGCCAAAAGTACAAGTTTTAATTCTTTTCGCTACACCGTACAGAGAGATGTCTTCTTCAGCCATCAACTAGATTAAGTTTGACGGCCATCGACGTTCGTTGCGAGCCATTGTCTTCGTCCTTGCATAATTCACCAATATAGTAGTTTCTGCTCGAGTGGGCGCCTTTTGATGGTAGCTAATTACAAACAGAAACGCCCGACTGCCTCACTTGTCGCTCTTCTGGTCTTACCAAGCACCGACTTCAAAGTTCTCCTATAGCAGAATATGTCAGAGAGTGATCAATAACGACTGGAACAGTAGAAAAATAACGAACCTCGGGGAAATAGGTGGTGACCACAGTCCTGTCAGCAAATTTGCGGCCAGCCAGTGCATTCAGGGCTTTCTTGGCTGATTCATTGGTATCAAACTTGACAAAAATCTTGCCGACTCCAGCAGATTGCCTGCTGCCACCGCTGGGTCGGGGGACCTTCAATGCTTCCACTTTTCCAAACTTGGAGCACTCGTCTTGAACATCCTCGCAAATTTCTGTGTCTCGTTAGTCGTCATGTCACGGTAGCCAAGCTGATCATGTGCACTTACCCTCGTAATCATCATTGTCCATGAGCTCCTCCGCTGTGACCATGTTGAGCAGTTGTAGCACTCTGCCTTCCTCTTGGTCCGTGGATGTGGTGCCAGCAAGCATAGACATGGCATTGACACCCATTTCGACGCCAGCCACCTGCGTAATTCCTATACTAGCCTTCTTGACCTTCAGACTCTTGTCGCCGATGGCCATACCATGAAGTCCTTGCACAGCGATGTCTGTAGTACCGGGGTCTACATATTCACAGAAAGCAATACCCTGCGACAATCATGTCAGTTGTAAGATCCGCATAGGGGCTTCATCTGGAGTAACTTACTCGTGATTCTTCTGTGCCGGCATCCTTGACCAGGACGAACGCCTTAAGCTCTCCGAAAGAAGTCAGCAGCTCCATAACCTGATCCTCAGTAAGGTATGGCGGGATATTCGTGACGCTAATCTTGTTAGGTGTGTCAACGACTACCCGGGACACTACACCAGGTTCGTAGCCGGTGTCATCTACCACGGCTGGCACAATGTAGTCCTTGGGGCGTTGGATCTTGAGACCGTGGCCGCTTCCATTGGCAACACCGTTGCCCATTGCATCGTCGGGCTCCATGGAAATGCCATCCAGCGCCAAGGCGACGGTGGCTTCTGAGGCATGTCGGAACTCGAGAACAGCAAATGTATGGTCGCGCGAGATCTGGCACAAAATGCAGGGATCAGTGCTCTCAATGACGTTGAGACCATTGAGCTGCAGATTGAAGAAGCTGATGACACTTTCTTCAGTAGCATTCGAAGGGATGTTGTAGGCGAGAAGACGCTTCGACTGGCGACTGTTCGAGGGCTTCAGAGCGGCATTGTTCACAGCACCTCCAGGCTGGTTCATAAAAGCCTGGAGCTTGCTGGGATCCATCGGCTGCTGTCGGGGTGCACCTGGAAGCGGGAACATGCCGGACAGTTTGGCCTGTTCAGCCGTGACGTTTTCGTATCCAGGAGGCTTGATGTCCCATTGTGTCATGCGGCGCTTGCGGTCAAGAACGGAAACGATATTGGTCAAGTCGGGGGTAGGCTCTCGCTTCTTAGGGGGGGTTGCGCTTCGGCCACGGCGGTTTTGCGCGAAAAGGTCCTCGTCTCTATCCCGTCCTCTGTCGTGGCCACGTCTATCACCGCCGCCTCGTCTGTCGTCGAAAAGGTCGCGATCGCGTCGTGGAGGTCGGCCGCCATCATCCCGGCGATGATCTCTTCGGCCACCTCGATCCCGGTCGCGGTCCCGATCTCCCCTCCAGTCTCGGTCTCGGCCGCCACCGCCGCCGCCGCCGCCACCGCCTCCATATCTGTCCTCGCGTTCGCGGTCTCTATGGCTGCGGCTCGAGGCATATGAGTCTTGCTCACCGTCGCGGTGCGAGCGTCTAGGTGATCGGGATCGTCGACGGTCTCTTCTGTCGCCACGGTCGCCGCGATCGCCTCGGTCGCGCCTGTCATCTCTCGAGGAGTAATCGCGAGATGAGCCATGGCGGCCATCTGGAAATGTGGAATTGATGGTTAGCTTGGGTTGCAGTTACTGGAGCCAAGACGAGCATCTTCAAGGGAAAATGGCAAGTATACCTCGTGACGAATACCCGTCGCCGTTCATTGTGATATGGAAGCAATTGAGCTTGGGATCCTCAAGCTTCTCCAACTTCCAATGGCGACGTTGATGGCGATGTTGATAGTTGCAGTGCGACGAACTTTATTAAGAATCGCGAAAGCTGCGAATGTGGATCTGCAAGGTGAACAGACGAGGCTGGAAGGCGTCGAAATTTTGGCTGCGCGAGAGTCGCGGAAGCGCCCAGACCAGAAGAGTCAAGGCAGCTTAGGGAGTGCCTAACCTCACTGACACTTAGCTGCTGTCCACTAACGGAGCACGGCAACGCGCTAGGGGACCTTGTCCGAGTGGCCCACTTGCCTCTTTGGGTGCGAAATTCAAGGTACCTGTGCCCGTCTTGACTCTTTTGCCTCTCAATTTGATAGAGAGAGAAAAGTCTTTGGCCACTCCATACTTCGAAACCCAGCCTTTCATTTGCTGCTCAGTCTATTTTCATATTTGGTAAACACATTCCTTGAACACAAACTCTACTAATTAGCACCTCGCGAGCGGTTTTTAACGTAAAAGCTCGCGGACAGAAGTCCTTGGCCTCTCTTTTTGCCATCAGAAATGCCTTCACTACGTGTTTCCGAGTGGCGAAAGTTGCCCCTGAGCCTCACAGAACTATGCATCGACACAACATTGCGATGTGGTCAATCATTTCGCTGGAAAAAGACTGATGACGAGTGGTACGTCTGAATGATTTGTTGGTTCAGATAATTACTACTTCAAAAGAAGTTCAATGATAAGCATGAAGAGTGACTAAATCAATCATAGGCATATGGTCCTACATGGACGTTTACTATCTTTAAAACAAGATGATACATATTTGCACTATAAAGCAACATGGCCAAGCAAGACTTCTCCAGGCAGCGAGAAACCCTCAGTCCCTGTGAAAGAAGAGTCACCACCCCCTCTAGACAGTCTAGCAGACGACACAGAGGATCTCATTAGACACTACTTCAGCTTAAAACACGACGCCGGCGCACTGTATGAGCAATGGTCCCAAAATGACGCCAACTTCCGGCGCAAAGCCCCTCGTTTCACGGGGATACGCATCCTGAGCCAAGACGCTTGGGAAGCGCTCATAGGCTTCATCTGTAGCAGCAACAACAACATTTCGCGCATCTCACAAATGGTTCACAAGCTGTGTCTGCACTACGGACCGTCCGTCGCCCGGATTGGCGGTGGCAGCGCGGACGACGGTGAGCTGCTCCATGATTTTCCCGATGCCGCGGCCCTGGCTGGCGCCGGCGTCGAGGCCCACCTGCGCCAGCTCGGCTTTGGGTACCGCGCGCGGTATATCGCCGAGACGGCGCGGATCGTGGCGCAGGACAAGCCGCCCGAGTGGCTCGAGACTCTGACGAACCCCGAGAGCCCGGGCTGGGGCGCTGCGGAGCGCTACGGAACCAAGCTCGATCGCGTCTCGTACCGCGAGGCCCACGACGAGTTGTTGACCTTGTCGGGCGTTGGGCCCAAGGTGGCCGACTGTGTGTGTCTCATGGGCCTGGGCTGGGGCGAGGCCGTGCCCGTCGACACGCACGTCTGGCAGATTGCGCAGCGGGACTACAAGCTTGGCGGTAAGGTCAAGTCCAAGACTTTCTCAAAGGCCATGTACGATACCGTTGGCGACCACTTTCGGGGAATCTGGGGTAGTCAAGCTGGCTGGGCGCAGTCAGTATTGTTCACGGCGAACCTCAAGTCTTTCTCGGACCGATCGGCCGTGAAACCAGAGGTGGAAGGCATCAAGATTGAGGTCGAGGAGAAGCTTGTTCTCGAGGAGGCAAAACCAAAGACGAAGCGGAAACGTGCGGTGTTGACCGAAACCGTCAAGCTTGAAGAGGTTTCTGTCAAGATCGAGGATAATGATACCAAGAGAAGAAGGACACGCTCGTCGACGAGAAAATGAGACGTATAAATGCACAAATATGAAATGACATAATGATCATAAGAGGCCTACAGTATGCTATGCCATTTGCTGTCGAATGTGGAGTTCACTTGAAAAACAAATTCTATTGTGCTGTCATGTACGCTACTGTCAATTTTGCTTGACGCTTTTTTGCCCGCGAGGGTATGATCTGCTCCAAATAAACAACCCATATAATCCTTGATATCAGCCTAGCAAGTTGATACCGAGTCTAACGACCAACATTCACACTTAATCCTCAAGAATTTCTGAGCCATTCAAGTCTTGAGGTGGGCCAAGCTCTGCCTCGTCCTCTTCCTCATCGAGTGACTTCTCATCAGCGTCATCGCCGCAAAACTTGGACAACATCCTCTCGATCCTGCCGACCGAGTCTTCTAGGGCCTCGAGCCTGTTGGATACGCCGATATCCTTACCCGCATCGATATCGGCCAGGATATGGCGCACCTGCTCGGTCAAATCTGAGCCGTAAGGGGCGATTGAATCTCGTCTGGCCGGCGGTCGCCCTACGCGCTGATTCTTATCTCCCTCTTCCGTGGCATCGGATCGACCACGTTTGATGGCTTCTTGAGCAGTAGTGCTGTGCTGCCTCACGAATTGCCGCCGGATCATATGACGGGTCAAGTCGTCGTCAACCGCAATGTCCTCGGTGAGTGATTCAGGAGGTACTATCTCGAACACTGTCTGGAGATCGCCATGGGTTGTGATCCTCCAATCTTCCCAGAACCATGTCTTCTTCCGAGCAGGAGATGGTTCAGAGGTGTCTGGGTGGAAGAGCCGCCGTTCAGCTGCTGCGATGAGTAGAAGGACAGGTAGGTTGATGAAGCGAACAGATGCTACATGAATTTTGTGAAACCATCGTGGACTAACGATGAACTTCATGGGCAGCAAGACAAACACTGCAAGGATATTGAATGGCGGCTGATAGGCAAAAATGGCATCAGCTTTTACACCTTCAAGCGTCTGCACTGCTCTGCGGAACTGAATCTCGGATGTTGCATTGGCCACGATCGTGCTGAAAGTGTTACTCAGCATCGATACGAGGATCGTCAAGAAAAGTGTATTGCCCAAGAACGCAAACGTGATCATCAAAATCGGGCCGAGAAGCCAGTGAAAGTCGTTCTGGATTCATTGTCAATACTTGTGTTAGGAGGTCAATCAAACTTTGACTTACGGATTGCGATACACCAGTACCGTCAAGACCAAACCATATCCACAACATCCATTTGCTGATAGTACTTGGAAATATTAGCTCAGACTTCAACGACCTAGTTGCCTCACTGGACTTACAGGAAGTCATGGCGACCTTCAGCTAGCCATACCATGGACAGCAGGAACCCGCCGAAACACCAAGCAGCCAGTACGGTGAGTAGCGTAAAGTCGGCCATCATAGAACGCAAGGACAGGAAGACGAGGTTGTCCGAAAGGAGATTGAATGCCAGTCGTGGGACAAGCACTGGCGCTCCAATGGCAAGTACATCTAGTGCTTGTTGTCCTGGCCCAATGTCGTTGTTGACCCATCCGTGTAGCCTTAGGATTAGATATGCCCAGTAAACCATGGCAAACATTACGTCCAGGAATGACCATAAGTTCTGTGTATATACGTTCCTTTTGCAGGCATATTAGTCACATATCTGCAATAGTGAAGAAGACCTTACCATCCGTGTTCGAGGATTGTGGCAAATTGATCCAGAACCCAACCAAAAGCATATATCGAAAATGCCATTTCCAGAAAACTGTACCGCTCCGGGTCTCGCTCCGCCATGAATGCCAAGTAAAGGCAAAGCAGAGTGATGAACTGCATAATCTCCAAGAGATTTCTGGTGCGCGGCACAATCAGGCGATATTGATTCAGCAAAGGTGCTTCACGTGGTTCATATAGCGAGATTGGCTTCTGTTTATACCGGTCGGGTATCAAATCCAGAAAAGTGGATGGAGTATAGACGATATGACCAGTGTAGATGGCATCAATACTAGAGCAAGGTCAACATGAACTCTTGCAAGTCCCGGTGTGTGATACTTACACCTTTTGGCAGTGGGTTGAGCTAAGAAAGTATTTGCTTTCACTGATGATAGCCACTTCGAGAGCTGGCAAAGTTCGGTGAAAATCCCATTTAGTGGCCAAAGATTCCTCGTTCCGGACCCCATCCGGAGCATTCTGAAAGGGGGTGAAGCCGGCGACGAGAATATGTGCCAATACAAGAAGTCCCTGGTCGCCTTCATTGTCTTCTCCGAAGCGCCTCAGAATACGGGTCGCAACGACCTCACAAAGCATTGCTCTCGTAAAGTTGACATTTTGCCTGTTGTTTAAATGTGCTTGTTCGTATAAGAATTGAGCACGGTTGACAAGTAGGCAGTAGACTTGTTTTGTTGTCAGCGATGAGCTTTGATTTGGCATTGGCAGCTAGTCAAGAGAAAGGTGGTGATTCGGAAATGGATACCTACCGATTGAGATATCATCCAGCTCGTACAACTTGTCAACTAGGGGACGAACGACTGAGATGTTCAGTCGGAGGTCCCGTAGTTGCTCAAATGTCAGGTAGTCCTCCACGATGGATATAACATCTCTCCGTATCCTGTGGATGTTTGTATAAACTGGGAGATGTGCATGGGAATTTGGTATGCAGCTGAAGAAGTCTCCGCCATCCAGAGAATGAGCAAAACGTGCTCGCTCAAGCAGTGGACGTCGCTCAGGTTCCTGGACTCGGACGTGCCTCGATCTGGATGACCGGCTGCTCATCTTATCATGCCGACGCGCAAGTGGCGGTAATGAGACGCGCTGCCGAGGCCGATGTCAAGGTGACGGCAAGAAGAAACCACGGATGTTGTGATTCGCAGCAAAGATTCAGGTGGCTTCTTCCCGCATCAGTTCACCCGTCCGACCTAATGTAGGATGTTTTGAAACCAGAACATGTGAATAATGAAAAAGTCCGCCACGGGGTAAAGATATGAGGAATGTTGAGACATGTAGGTGCAAACTATCGTGGTGGGGTCATTCAGTTCTGGAAGACCACACAGCCAGCATGAAACGGGTCCGCTAAAGCAGAAAGCTCCAAACTTCCATAATGTGTGATCTACAACTAAACCAAAGACAACAAGCACTTTGCGGCAACACCGATATGCCGAGAATGAATATGATATCGAAAGAAATGTGAACGATTAGTCTCTAAAGGAGACTGAATTCGTATCCGGACTTTCTAGAGCTTCTAGACCAAGAATATGAAAATCGAAAGGCGACGAATCGCGGTCATTATGCTTGCCAGGCATTCTGAAGAGATCTGACGTCAAAAAGCTGCCAAGAGATCCTGGACACCAGGTTATGCATTCCTATTGGGGCAGAGCCAGGCCCAGCGCAGAGGTGCATAACGCACATGAACGAGGAGTTAATCTGATATAATCTGTTCCAAAGCACCACAGATTTCGATTTCGAACAGGAAACATCAAATGATTGAATGAAAGATCTTCAGCATGATTGGGATCAGGCAAAGTTGCAGCATTTCTACTCCCAGCCGTGCAAAGTCGCAGGTCACCACCTCCTAAGCAATATAGAGCCTGGGGCCGTCTTGTGTGTGTGCTTAATGAGATAAGGCAATGAAGACACCCGTGGGCATTGCATCAATCTATTTGGATCTACCAAGTCCATCCAAGCATATCTTTGAAGAAACAGAAAACCTGCAAGATCTTTCAAGAAACAATTGTGGATTCAGATGCGTTGTTCGTGTGGAGTGTCTTGTTGCGTTCATATACTACAATCAACACCTGTACGTACTCTAGTAGTGAGTGATAATTGGTGCCGACTATTGGTTACTGAGCTGCAGGGCCAATGAATCGCCTGCAGCCCGCACGCGTTAGAGGCGTGGGGTCCCGCCAACACCTCAGCAGTTCGGGCCCTTGAGTGCCGATTTTCGCCGCGGATATCCTTCCCAACGACGGCCACATCTCTCAGCCAACCTCAGTCCGTTTGGGCGACGCTGGTCGCTTTGGGGACATTCCACAGGCCGTATTCACGATGCCATGGCCATTCGGCACCGGCAACAGGAAAGACGACGATGAAAAGTCTGGCCACTCCACGATTCCCTGGACAGAGAGCCTGAACAACACCGACTGGCAGCACTTTAAAGATCCCAGAAATTGGGTGCCAACCGTTCTGGTCACCACCACAATCTTGGTGTCTCTGCAGTTCTATCGATCCTATCTTCGTCGCTTCCCCGGCGCTGCTCATGTGCAGCCATCTTTCTTTCGGAAGCGCAGCTTGTTTGGGAAGGTTACGAGTGTTGGCGATGGCGACAACTTCCACCTCTTTCATACTCCTGGCGGACGCTTAGCTGGCTGGGGGTGGCTGCGGCGCATCCCGGAGAAGAGGCCGGAATTGAAGGGCAAAACAGTCAGTTCCTAGAATCTAGCCTCTACTATACACGAAAGACCCGTGCTGACGTCCATATCGCAGATTCCCGTGCGCTTAGCCGGTATCGATGCCCCTGAGGGCGCGCACTTTGGCAAGCCCGCGCAGCCCTTTGCGACCGACGCGCTTGCCTGGCTGTCGGACTATGTCCTAGGTCGGCGGGTGCGCGCAAAGATCTACAAGCGCGATCAGTACGATCGCGTTGTGGCCACTGTATTCGTCCGCCGCTTTTTCCTGCGCAAAGACGTCGGTCTGGAGATGCTCAAGAGGGGCCTGGCGACCACGTACGAGGCAAAGTCGGGCGCCGAGTTTGGCGGACTGGAAGAAAAGTACAGGGCGGCCGAGGCGAAAGCAAAGGCGAAGAAGCTCGGCATATGGGGAGGCAAGCCCGAGCATTTTGAAAGTCCTCGCGATTTCAAGACACGCATGAACCAGGCAGACGCGTAGGATAGGGCTTGATCATGAGCCTCACATCGCCATCGTTAAAGCATAGTTACGCATTCCAATGAAAATCTCACGCATGATCAACAAGTTTTGTGGGCTTGAAGATCTGTGTCAAGTGGCCGTGGGTTGTGAAGAAACACAGATGATCCACGGATCCGCCAAGGTCAAAAGGTATGATCTGCCATGGAGCGTCAAGCATGACTACGTTGGTTTGATGTAGCGCTGTAACTTTGGGAGCATTCTATGCTGTCATGACACCTCGAAACAGTGGTTCGCTCCAGCCCTCGCATTCCCTTATCTTCAGTGCTGAGTGCAAATGGTACGTGGAAGCGTGGCTGAGTCTAGTGCGTTCCGCTCACCGGATTTGAATACCGAGTCCAGGAAGATTTCAAGCAATGGATGTGATCATGATGGATGAAATAAACAAATAACACATGGCAAAATGCATGTTCTGCGAGTGCTTGTATGTAGGTCTTGATCTTAATTTTCGCCGTTTGATGTCCCAAACCTTGTCTAGGTGTACGAGGAGTACTTGTTTGTGGCTGAGGAATATCAACAATAACAACGACGACGTTCTGCACAATCCAATCTTGGGACCCTCCAGCAAAAGATGTCCTTGGACTGTCAACAGGTCTGCAAGGCGCATTCTGACGTTTTTATGCAGCACATCGTCACCGCTTTGTCAATAGAGGTACGATTGTACATCCATTCACACTAACACTATCAGCCTACCGGGTGCTCCCTTGATGATATACGAATTGCAATTTATGCTAGGCGGTGGCAATTGGCACGGGAAAGTCTGAAAAGATGACTTATCACCTGGCATGTTTTCTATGCATGAGGCGGCGCTGTCCAATTTTCTCCCTCCGCCGCGCCGCGTGTCCAAAAGATAAATGAAGGGTGTTGCAATGTCAGAGCGCATGGCCGAGGAGGCGCCTTCGTTCGGCGTTTAACAAGCAGACAGCGGCATCGAAGCTAGCTGGACTGGAGGTTTCGAGCTTGGCTTTTAGAGTTTTGTTTATATCAGATATACCACGGGCATAATGGACTGCTCGTCTATAGAGAAAACAACGAACCATATCGCCTGCAAGCCAATTCGTATTTCCACAAGCATACAAAACCCTGGAACTTTATGAAAGCATTGTGCATGGAAATGCCAGCAGCCAGGGAGGTTTGGACCAGTGGAATCGCACCGCCGAACGTTTGAGATGCAGCACATCCCGGACCATCGAGAGGTCCCCTGTCGCCCTGTCTAACATCTGATCCAGTTACAAGACGAGCAACCCCTCACCCCAAGTCACCTCACCAGAGTCCAGACGCCCCCTTTCGGTATGGATCCCAAGACGCAGGGGAACACCAAAAGGCTTTCAAGAACTGGCCTCGTTCTGCACACTGCTGTTTCGGCTTCTTTGGTTTTCCCTCGACACTGCAAAATCCGGTGCTTCGTTGGGAGTCGCTGCCCGGCAGTGGAGAGTAGACGCACACTTTCTTTTTCACCCGTAGTCTTCGTCGTTCGTTACAAACACCAAAAGCCTCACGAAAGGGCAGAATAGAACTGGGGATCCCTCACTCCCTTACAACAGTCTCCATCCCTGATCAAAGGCTGCCATTCGCTTGTTAAATCCATCTAGTCATTCCTTTTCATTTTCCTACTTGTTTTCCACCATCCTTCATCTCGCGGGTCTTTTCTACGGCCAACGTGGCTCAAAAAGAAAGAAGAAGAAAACCTTCCTTTTTCTGAAGACGCCCCTGATTTGATAAGAGGGCACACCACCAATATCTCAGACATTAAGCACGTCGTGAGAAACCCGGAATTGCTCCCTGGTGGTTTCGTCGACTGTTCGGCACGCCTTCGTCAAGGGTTTCCATCCTTGGGATCTACACCACGCTCGTTTCCGAACCAGACAACCTCTTTTTAATAATTCTATCTTAGTCACACGAGGGAGATTTGTGCAGTAAGCCCTGCGTCACAACATTTGGTGCACCCAAATCCCGGCTGCCGATTTCTCTCTTGTCACGAAAGCCCAAACAGCCAGGTCCCGAAAGAGGCTTGTTCGCCCGGACTTTGCAGCATAACATCGCACACATCGGAACCAGGCGTCGCACATAGCGCCGGCCCTCTATTAGAGTTGGGGACTACTGCAATTTGCTCGGTGAGTGCGATTCTTATTTCATGCCCTTCTTTTTTCTTTCTTCCTTTCGCGTCGCGTAAAGAAAAAAAAAAAAAAAAAAAAAAAGTCCCCGTTGGCGGGCCAGCATCTAGGATATGGTAGTGTCATAGATCCCCGTCTCCAACGACGAGATTCGCCTTCGCGGTCGCAGCCAACAAGGACAACCCAAGTGGTCGATGTCCGCTAAAGCCAGGCGAACAAATCATTCATCCAGCATCTCTTTCTTGATTTTCTCTGCGACAGAGCGGGTGGACAAAATTGGGGGTCACAAACAGATGGCGCCTGTCATCTCATAATCTTAATTACGTATGTCGCGGACGGTCGCTAATTTGCCGAACCGAGTTTAGCGACCCATTCGACGGATTGCAAGGCAATCAAACTTCACCACGCAACCAACAAGCAGACAGACAGCGGGAGAAAAAGCCCAGCTCGGAAGCAGCCCGTGTGCCGTCCAAACCTGCCACTCACTTTATTTCTTTCTTTCTTTTTGGACTTTCACAATCATCAGAAAAATTCCCCTTGATCACAAGGAATTAATTGCAGGCACACTCGCGCAGCACTCTCACTCACATTAGACGAGTGGGACGGGTCAACGAGGTCAAGCAGCGATCACGTACCATCGAGGCACTGCCCCAGCTCATTTATTTTACGGGGCTCCACTCAAAATTCAGGTACCAATTGCAGTTACTCCACCGCAAACACAACCACCACTGCGCAACCCCCCCGGCAGCACTGAAGCCCAGGCCCAGACACACGGGCCTCGCTCTCTCAGCAGCCAGCCAGTGAGTCCGTTCAGCCAGTCCCAGTCCAGTACCTTACTCTTCCGTCAGTTCCCCTGCCTGTTCTGTCTGTCGCCTCGACTGCACTGCGTACGATCATCCATCTCCTCCCGACCTCGAAGCATCATCATCATCACTTGCGAAACTGCACAACTAAACGGTTCCAATTCCCTTCGACGGACTAAACTCAAATCAACTTTCCGAAAACGGAAGTTGCGGACAGCATACAGCACCTTAATCGCCAATAGACTTCCCGGCTCTCGAATTCTAAATCGACACGACTCGACGCCACAGCTTCTTGATCCAATTGTGTCACAAGTGCGATCCCTTTTCAATTGGCCATTCACGTCACAAAGAAGTCCCCGGTCTATTCGGCGGCCCCCGTATCTTTTTTTTTTCCCTCTCGTCGCGTTCAGGCATGACTCTCGACTCTCGGTAGCTTCAGTTTCGTTGGGCATCCACCTTATCGCCGTCCTTCCGGCTGGGGCGTTGTCGACATCACATCGTCGCCGCCGTCACAGCGAGCAACGATGCGATTGCCCTCAACATGGCGGCCGCGGCGGTCGTCGCGCGCTCCCAGTAAGGGCGCGCCGTCGCGCCTGCTCACCTTCGCGTCGCTTGCGACGCTATCAAATGCCATCAGCGTGGTCCCGGTGTCATCGCCAAACCTGGACCTGAGCAAATTGGGCAAGACGGGAATTGCTGGTGACTTTACGGGTATATCATTGTACATGTGGGAAGGACAGAACGAAAATTCTTTTGCGACAAATGGTTCCCAATCACTCATGACCCAATTTCCTGATGGGTCGTTTCTCAATGTTCTGGATAGCGACGCGTCTATTCAGGCATTATGCGTCTTGAACGACGCGTTAATATTGGGCGGGAACTTTACCAGTTTGGGCGGTTCAGAGTTTACCGCTATCGCATCCATGGACCTCAACACCACCAAACTCACCAATATGACCGGAATCACGGGTCAGGTTAACAGCCTGTTTTGTGACGAGGATTCTAATACAGTTTACGTGGGTGGAAGTTTCCAAGCTGACGAGTCCACGAATGCGATAAAATGGACAGACGATAGCTGGACAAGTCTCCCATTTGCAGGTTTCAATGGACCTGTCATGTCCATTACCCAAGCTGCGAATGGCAATATCATCTTTGGAGGAAGCTTCACCGGCTTGGGAAACACCTCGACCCCGAGCGAAACAAGTGAAATATTGGTAAATCTGTCAACGGCAAACATATCGACCACAGCAGGTGCCACCACTTCAGGTTTTAGCGACCCCGAAAATATCATCTGCAAGACCGACGGCGCAGATGGATCTGGAAACACGTGGCTGATGGAGGACGATACCGCCGGTTCGTGGACAGCAACCTTCGACTTTGGATTTGAGCCCACCAGACTGCGGCTGTACAACACTCACCAGGATGGGCGAGGCACCCAAACTTGGAGATTTACCGCTTTCCCGATCAACGGTATCATGAACTTTACCTACATTGATCCGGCCACCAACCAGAATGCATCCTGCACAAGCGAATGCCCATTGAGCGACGACACCTCGGTCGAATACCAGGACTTTTTCTTCGTCAACAGTGTGGGCATGAATGAGTTCACCATCGATGTGTCGGCTTGGTATGGTAGTGGAGGTGGTTTTGACGGCATTGAGCTCTTCCAGGACAACATTTACACCTACGCGATCAATGACTTCAACGAGCCATCCTGCTCAAATACTTCATTCCCGTCCACTGCAACATCGACAGGCTCGTGGACCACTACGCCATCTGGACAGAGCAACTCCGAGTATCTTTCAGCCCAACTGACAGGCACGATCTCGTCAGACTCAGCTGCCGTCACATTTTACCCTGACGTGCGTGAATCTGGTAACTACACAGTCAGTTTGTACACGCCTGGCTGTTTACAGGATAGCACTTGCACCAGCCGTGGGCAAGTCAATGTCACGTGGACCTTGACAGCAGATGATGACACCGATGATAACGTGAAAATACTTTATCAAAGTAACAACTATGATAAATACGACGTCCTGTTCACCGCGGTCATGGATGCCGCGTCCTCCTCCTTCCGTCCAAGCATTGTTCTCACTCCAGCAAACAACCAAGATACAACCAACCTTACCGTCGTCGCCCAACGGATTGGCTTGTACTTGCAGAACTCGACCGGGGGGCTGAATGGACTTTTCGAGTACGATCCTAGCAAAGCAACAGTCGACACTTCAGATTTCAGCACTTCGCAATTCGACAAGCTGGGATCTGGTTTTGACTCTCGATCGGCCGTGACGACCCTGGTTCAGGATGGAGATATTACCTACATCGGTGGCAATTTCTCGTCAAGCAGTGTCAAGAATATTGTTGGAATTGATACATCAAACAACTCGACAGTCGAGCTAGATGGCGGCTTGAACGGTGCAGTGAATTCTCTCTATGCATCGGATGGACAGATCTACGCTGGCGGATCGTTCGACAACAACCTGGACGGCTCCGATTCAGGCCTCAGTCACGTGGCAGTCTACGATGCCAGCAGCAAGCAATGGTCGCCGCTTGGCGCTGGAGTAGATGGTCCAGTTGCTAGCGTCGCTCCCATGACCCTGAATATTAGCAGCAGTACTGCCGAGACCGTGGTCGCCCTGACGGGTTCCTTCAACAGTTTGATTGCTTTCGACGACAATTCGGAGATCTCAGTCAGTGGCTTCGCGGTTTGGGTGCCATCACAGAAAAATTGGCTGCAACATGTCAATGGTACTTACCCTTCCATTAGTGGTCTGCTGACAACATCCTTGCTCAATGCCACTAACGGCATGTCGTTGTATGCTGGCTCAATGTCATCGAAGGCAATCAGCGCGAATGGAGTTGTCGCCATGGGCGAGACGCTGGGAACCTTCCCAGTCAATTTTACATCGAAGTCTACGAGCAGCAACACCACGAGTACGAAACGAGCTTCCGTGATCAACAGCACTGATACACTCACTGGTGTGCAAACCGGTGCGTTCTACAATGATGGTGCCGTTACCATTCTTGGTGGACACTTCACTGCAACCACTAGCAATGGCTCAACTGCCAGCAATTTGGTCATTATCGACAGCGACAACAGCAACGCCACTACTGGCCTACCGTCTGGTGTATCTGATGAGTCCACATTTTATACACTTGCCGTCCAGGATGACAACCTGTTTGCGGGTGGTCTTGTGAAGGGAACCATTGGCCAGTCAAGTGTATCAGGTCTGGTTTCCTACAACCTAGCCAACTCTAAATTCAACAACCAGCCACCAGGTCTCGTCGGCTACGGTGACGATGATGCGATTGTGACCTCGATTAAAGTCCGCCCTGACACGAGCGATGTCTACGTCGGTGGTTCTTTCAAGTCAGCAGGCACTTTGGACTGTCCAGGTGTATGCACGTACTCAACCTCGGACGAACAGTGGACTCGCCCCGGCTTGGGCCTGCAGGGCAATGTTAGCTCCATGGTTTGGCCAAGCAGCTCTACACTTGTAGCAGGCGGTGAGTTAAGCATCAATGGAACGACCTACTATCTAGCCTCGTTTGATGCATCCAGTGCTGTCTGGACGGCTTTTTCGGAACAATCTTCTCTGCCTGGCCCAGTAGATGCTGTCACGACTGCCAACAGCGATGGCACACAGTTCTGGGCAGCTGGAACTGCGAGCGATTCCAGCTCTGTTTACCTCATGAAATACAACGGGTCCGCTTGGGAATCAGCAGGTGTCAGCCTCAACGAAGATTCCGTCATCAAGAGTTTGCAGGTATTCTCAGTCACATCTTCCCACGACTCGAGTGCTTTGCTCGACACCAATGAAGTTCTTATGATCACTGGATCTCTCAGCATTCCTAACTTCGGAACGGCCTCGAGTGTCATTTTCAATGGTACAGCACTTCAGCCCTATGCGCTGACAGGTAATACCGGAAATACTGCGGGCTCAATTTCGAGAATCTTCGTCCAGAACGAGGACTTTTTCTCAAGCGGCAGTAAGTTCACCAGGATTTGTATCTTGATTGACTAGGAGCTAACATGAAAACTGTAGGTTCCGGATTAGCAGTCGGCTTTGTTGTCCTGATAGGACTGGCGATCTCGCTGGGAATAATGCTCCTAATCGTGGTCGCCGGTCTATTATTGGATCGATACAGAAAGAAGCGTGACGGTTACGTCCCTGCCCCTACTTCGTACGATCGAGGTGGTGGCATGAGCCGCATTCCTCCCGAAGAGCTTCTTGACTCATTGAGCAAGGGTCGATCTGGCGCAACTCCGCAAATATGAGGAGAGTTGACGATCAGACCAGGAATGACTCATTGGCCGATCGCCACCATCGACAAATACACAAAGTCACAGGTTGGATATGTGGAGGACAACAAATATCATGCCAGATCTTGATGCATAGATGCAATCAAAGGTCCGGAAATTCCCAGGTTTCGAGTTCGGAACAAACAGCAAAGATACCCATCAATTGCCAGCGATCAAATTTTACGCAATCGAGCAACAACAAGGCAAACGGCGCCAAGAGAAGAGGCAGATCATTGAGAGAGCGCACTAGAAGATGAAGTGGCCGCTGTATCACCAATTTGCTTGCATGCACTTTCATCTTTTATTTACGAATTACGACAAGCGAGTCAGCATCATAATGTCTAGAAATCATAGTTCATTTCCCGCATTTCTTCCCACAAACAAACAAACACACAAGTTGTGTGACACTACTACACTTCTTCACCCTTTCTTCTGTACATTAGCAAACCAAAGTCTCGTGGTCTCGCCCCCCGGCCACGCATCAACCTTGTTGAGGGCTTCAAAATGGGATGGTTTCATGCTGCGCTCATCGGAGCGCGGCTCTAATAGGGGTTTCCGAGAACAGCATCTGGCTGGAAAGATCTGTTTGAATGGGAAAGATACAGTAAGGCAGGATCTTTTGGAAGGGGCTCCCATTCGAGAGCTTGATTTGCCCACGTCTACCTCTAGCAGGTAGTTTAGATATCTGAGAATCTCAATATCACAAATTTCACAATAAATTCTCCGATTTCTAGTGCATGTCAAGTGCGATGATGAGATCCGAGCACCATGAAACTCAGTGATCATTTTATCGCTATCCCATAACAATCCTGATTTTTTCTATACAAGCACTGCCTGCCAATTAACATCAAGGCCGACTTGTACGTAGGACAGAGGGTAAACTATATTTCCATCTCTACCGGCTCTTCCGACCCGAGACCCTCTCGGCACGTCTTTTCTACGCAATCCATTAAGCAAGGGGTACATGATTTTGTGATGCCTCTTTCCCTTTATTTTCCTTATTCTCCCGCCCTGGTAAAAAAAAAAGAAAAAAAAGGGGGGGGGGAGCCACATGACTTTCCGAGTTTGCCGAGAGAGGCTGGGGAAGTGTGTGGTGGATGGACCGTGGGACGGGAAAACCCAAGCGCAACAGCGCCGGGCGGCAAGGAAAAAAAAGAAAAGAAGAAGAGAATAGGGGGGCATATACCCCTTTTTGTATACTAATCTATTGATTCTTGTTTGTCGCCCGGGGCGCTTCTTGGCCTTGATCCGTGCCCTGCAAATACTTGATCGTACAGGGCTGGTAGACGCAAGCTGAATCTTGGTGTATCATCTACAAAAGGGACTCGAAAAATAAATGCACCTATCAGTGATCAGAAGCCTTCTGTCACGCCAATTGTGGAAGCGTGTAACTATGGACGCCATCGTAGATAAACGCATGTCACTGACCAGGAAAATCGGTTTGTAATTTCAGAGAGGATGACGGAGTCGGATCAAGAAAAGTTTCACATTTCAAGATTCAAGTTATGTGTCTCATAGATTTATTTCTTTTAGCTAACCTTGGTCCTCTGGAACGTATTGTTACAAATGCACAGCAAACCTCTAGCAGGTAGGCCATTGAAGGTCAATCGAGTCTGCCCCTAAGCGGGCGTCTTTAGTAGTCAGTCTGTCTTAGGCCACGCGGAAAAACAATCTGTATACGCCTCTCGCCCCGAAAGAAAACCAGTACCAACGCCGAAGAAGATGTTCACCTTGTCGCTTTTGCTCAGACCCCAAGGCAAGGGGGTGTTGAGGAGGGAAGCGCCAACGCCACATCGGGATGACAATGCAAAATGCAAGGCGAAATGCAAAAGATGACCAGGCTCGGTGATGAGCCGCCAACGGGCTTTGGTTGCCAATGTACAAATTGTGCCATGTTATCGGCCGTATGCCTTGTTGCAATGCGTCCACCAGCAGGTGGCGGACCATTGCGGAATTAGTAGTTCAATTCACCCGCGCCGCCACCAGCGACATGGTCAAGATCCTCGTAGCTCTTTAGACTTCGGCCTTGAACAGCCTCTCGAGGACCCATGGCAGCGCCACCTGGAGCAGCACCATCGCCCCATCTGCTAACTCCTCCACGGCCGCGGCCACCCTCTTGGTTCCAGCGTCCTTGCGGTTGACGTCTGTCGTACGGGCCAGTACGGTTGTTATTGTTGAAGCGGCCATTCATGCCCCCTCGTCGAACGGGTCCCACGCCACGGTCGTCACCGCCAGCATTCCAGCCGGCAGCTTGCATGCCGCCTTGAGCAAACAACGGAGGCATGCCGGGCAGTCCAGGGAAACCAGGGAATTGAGGCATCATGTTGTTCATGGAGAAGTTCTGCAGGTTGAAACCTCTGGGAGTTCCTTGCTGAGTCTGGCCATTGGAAGGGGGGAAGTGCCCGTTGGAATTGGCATCGGTTCGGCTCGGAGCAATGTGTGCCGGGTCAAGGACATATGCATTGATCAAATCGAACTGGATGGGCGTCAAAGTTAGCGGCTGGTCTGTTGTTTTGAAATACTGTCATCTTACCTCTTGCTTCAAAGTTTCAAGCCAGTCTGGATGACGCTTCTCGACATGCTTCTTCCAGAAGTGCTCCTCCTTGAAAAGCTTGGTACACTCGGGAACCTTACATCTCCACTTGTGCTCGTCTTCTTGCTTTACAAACTTGGTCATCTCATCGGCGATAGCATCGTCAGAAGGCTTGCCGCCAAGCTTGCGAATATCGCACGTCTCGGGCTCAAGAATCTGCATGATCTTGTCTTCAAAGGTCTTGACCCATTTGTATGCGCGCTCAAGCTGTTGCTCCGACTTGGAAATGCGAGGCTTGCGGTCGTTATCTGGTGCTTCTCCCTCTTCCTCCTCCTGCTTCATTTCACGCTTCTTAGACGGGAACGGCTCTCCGTGGGCACTTGCACGTGCCACATTCTTCGCGGCCGTAGACAAAGTGGTTCTAGGACGGCGCAGATGGCCTCCAGGGCATTTTCTAGTCAACTCGTGGATCGAATCGCTCTCGAAGACGCAGAAGAAACAAAAGTTGAAGACACGACGAAGATATTCGATCATGAGATCGAGCTGCTTCTTCTTCACCAGCAGATCTTCGTCATCAACCTCATCATCGACGGCACCCTCGTCTTCATCATCGTCCATTTCTCCTTCTTCACCTTCGTCGATGTCAAGATCGAGGTTACGGTCCTTCTTCATTTTCTTGACGGGCGAAGTGGGAACAGCCGGTTGTAAGCGGCCGGCATTCTTGAGATCGTCTACACGCTCCTCAACCTTGAGTCTGGCATTGAAATCGGATCCAAAGTCCTCTTCGAATTTGTTGACAAGCCGCTGGACGAGCGCAAGATCCTTCTCTACTCTCTCGGGAGCCGAGAAAAGATCCCACAAGGCCTTTTTGCGAGGATTTCCAGGAGGATTGTGGACGCCAACATGGCATACGAAATCGCCGCGGACCTCATCCTTGACGGTCTTGCCATTTACAGCGTCAAGCGCCTTCTCGGCAGTGGACAGCAGCACAGGAGATTTGATCTCGGTATCGCCATCCTCGTCCTTGGGATCAAGGCGCTCGGACGTGGCCACTGTATCAGAAGAAGGGTGGAGCATCACCCAGCCCATTCTGTGGTATCGCTTACTAGGGTTCGGGTCGCTCAGCGACAGCCACTTGAAGCCGCCTTCCTCTTCTCCAAGGTGCTCCTTGCAAAACGACTCAAGATTCTGGCGGCTGACGTGTGGTGCAATCGTCTTGATCAGTAGTGTTGGCTGGTAGAGGTTCTCATCGCGAATGTCGTTGCCCTGAACTGGTACAAGGTCACCTACGCCAAGGACTTCATTTGCCGTGGCTTCGCCCTCTTCTTTCTCAAAAACACCACCAGTGCCATTGCTCTCGCTCTTCGGAATGCCTTCGAGAGAGAACTCGTCAAATGTACCAGACTCCAAGTCTTGTTCCCATTGGGTGTAGGCGCCACGGCGGAAGTCGTTAAGCTGCGCGTGAAAAACGTCTCGTACCTCGGGCACATAACGCTCTTTGAACCATTGCTCCTTCTTGTGCTCGGCAACGAAACTTCTGGCCATCTTTGCTTGGAGCTCCTCCTTGTACACATCATAAGCCGCCTGGATCTTGGCCTTCTCCTTGTCACGGTCTTCCTGGGACTCTCTGCCACGGGTGCGTTCCGGGCGGCGGCCCGTGCGGGCTCGCTCCTTCTCTTCCTTGATCTTCTCATTGGCTCTCCACCATTCTCCAAAATAGGAGAAGCCGACTTGAAAGGGAAGCTTCACGGGATCTGTCAAGGGATTGACAGAGGGAGGAGGTGGTTCGCTTCCGGTCTGGCCTGGCACATAACGATCGATGTTGGCAGGCGGTGAGGCAACCCGGCGAGATCGATCATCACGATCGCGAGGTCCTGCAAAATCATCCCGTCCTCGGCCTCGAGGTTCGTATCTGTCGACAGGGGGAGGTGATCGAGATCTGCGACGTGTACGATCGTAGCCTGACCAGTCAGCTGGGAAAATCATGGAGCGACCGGCCAAACATTGCCACCATATTGCATCGCCAAAGTAGAAGATGAGGCAACATTAATGGATCAAGAAATGACGGAGAGAATAACGCACCAGGTGAGCGACCGCGATAGAAGCTGTCACTGCGATCGTCCTTTCTTTCGTCGCGGCTCCACTCGCGGTCACGAGGTGAGCGCATCGGTACGTCGCGATCACGGTCGCGATACGAATTGTACGAGTCCATGGTCGCTGTGTGTATTGGATGCGTGGGAGGATGCCGAAAAGCAGCAATTGCTGCTACAAGAGCTTCGGTACTGAGATTTTTGTATCTGTCGTAGTGGGGACACGGTGGTACAGGTTCGGTCGTCAAGTGAGGAAAGAAGTGTGCGCCAGGGGCCTGCTGTTTGGCGACGCGATTGCCGTTAGAGAAATCATTTCCCAGAAAAAGTTTGACACAAGCAACAGAATCATGGTAGAAAAGAGGTTTGGGAGGGACAGCATGATGACAAAGATGAAGGACAGCTAGCAAGCCAAAGTAGAAGAAGAAGCGGGATGATTGAGAAGCGTAGGATGAGGCGCGCAAGGAGCCAAACAAACTAATGCATGGTGAAGAAGCAGTGATGACAAGAAGTTTGCGCGCAAAGGCGGCTGGTGGTGATGAAGAGGCGGGCTGGAGATCTGAGGTCGCGACTTGGACAGAGAGGAGAGAGACAAGAGATGCCGGAGCTCAACGGCTACAGGCAGGCAGGCAGAACGGGTGGGTGGTGGAAGCGGGCGAGCGGGCGACAGAGCGAGAGAGCGAAGAAGAGATAGCTAGAAGAAAAGGAAGGACGAACTGGTTGATGAGGTAGCAATTGAGGCTGCGTTTGGGGATGCAATTGATGCTGATGATTCTCCGTGACGTCCTGGTAGTAGGAGTGTCCGGGAATTCGCTGCTCGAGGTCAGCTTATTGTCTTGAGGACAAAGGGTAATGGATCAATCAGTTAACCGAACTCACCAGTAGGTGATGGGGATCCATCGTGGGCGTAGCACAGCGCTCGGACCAGCCCAAGGTTTAGCGACTCGGCTAAATGAATATTTGTGGTTTGTGGAATGTCAAGATCACGCTAAGTCGGAAGATCATCATGATTCATTCAAGTATCGGGGTCAATGGTCTTTAGCCCAAACTCAGACCCCTAGGGATGCATCGCAAAAGTGGGTTTCGAACCAGCTCCTCCATTAGCTTGAGCTCAATGGCTGCATGTACTCTGTAGATCCGCCCAGCTCCAGCCAGGTACCAACCCCGTCATTATTCCGTATTGTCATTGGGTGTTTTGGAAGTAATTACGAGACATCTATAAAATTGGGTTGCAAGATAGGGCACAACATATTTTGCAGATTCGTTTGCTTTCAGTATAAATGAATTGAATTCGTAACCACAAGTCAATTCAAATGTCTAGTCTCTGAATAATATGGTCTGGAAAGTTTAAACTATGAACTATTAAAAGCACCATGGATAGGTCACAGCTATGTTCTAGGTTTAGACGTGTAGTTTTGGCAAGACCAACAAACAAAAGAGGCTTTCTTATAACAATTAGCCAACACCAAATGAATACATTGAAATCAACGCAACCCAAGTTTCGGGACTGCTGGCTTATATATCGTACGCAAAGCTCCCACGCATACGGGAGAGGCCGTTGGAATCTTATACTCAAAACGTGAGGGCCTACTGAAAGCAACGCAATGAAACTATTGGCAGGACTGGTCAAGACTTTAACAGGCTTAATCAGTCGCGTTTAACACAATGAGCTACATAGCTAGGCAATATTTCTCTTTGAGTTATATCCACCGAGCTGGTGGATTTTCCGCAGCCCTAATCGTAAGGATTTTTTCCTCCTTTTTTTGGGGAAAAAATAGAAGCCATATAATAACCGGGAGAGCCTACATTTTTCTTTATTCTGCCGTGAGAGTTGCAAGATGCAAATGCTACCTACCTGGCTGGCAAATATGTGTTGTACCAATGCAAACGGTTCGGAATATCCAAGTAAACCGAGCATATTTCCTATAGACAGGCCAGCAGAAGTCATCTCAAAATTGCGTATCATATCATCCATTGTAATGAATACTACGAGAAAATGGAGCCTCATTTTGTGGCGGCATGTTTTGGCAAGCCGTGGCAATCATTCAAGCCGTTTGAATTTCGGTGTGCAATGGTCAGATAGCTCTGTTTGGCTCACTTGAATCGTAAGGCGGCGAAATTACAACACCGGAGGACAAAGAAAGCCTTATAGTTGAAAATGATGGAAAAAAGCTTGAAGTAAGACTAGTCATCAATCTTTGGTTTCACCCCCTTATTTGATATGAAAAGATGTTGGGCGTGTAAGCCTTCTGCGGTCTCCAGTCTCCTTAAGGCTCCCCGCTCTATTCTTTTCTTTATTACAATTATACGACAAGGCTATTTCTTAGTTCTGATATTTCTACTGCGAATTCTGAAGCTGATACGGGCAGTACTTCCTTCGCCTTCTTTGACGACGGAAGGAGTCTGGTTAGTAGATCGGGCCCAGGAGTTGAATATCTTTCGGCCTTTGCCTACATCTGCTGGAGGTCCTTGGATCTGGAACCTATTATGAGAAACGTCTTGTAGTATCATTTGACAGTTCTTTTCGAGTAAGACGGATAGTTTTCTCAGATCAGTAGACTATTCGAACTTGGGGGATTTTTCCAACAATGTTTTCTATTTGGCGTTCACAATTCGGGTAAAATATCCAAGAGATTAAGGCGAAATATGTACTCAGATATTTGATTTATATAAAAACGAGTCAATGATTTCGTGATAGTCGTAGACTTCGTTTGCTTGACATTCATTATACTTTGCGTCAAGCATTTCCCCTCCCTCACAGCCTCTTGGGCTCTACGCTAGATCGGCCCTCGCTATTCGGAACCGCAAAGAGGTGATTCTGTAAAGCGTTGCTCTGGCAGTCACCCCATTACTTTGTTTTCTCTTCAAATCAATTTTCTGCCTCATATACCGGCGCCCAAAACACCCAACCCAACTCCCGCCGCCATGCCGACCAGACACGGCATGCCCGTAATCCTTGGCTGGGCCACATTTGCCGTGCCGACGACAAACCCACCCGTTGTGCCCACCGTTGAGCACCTGCTAATGGAAAGTCCGTGGCAGGCTTGTGAACTGAGACTGCTGCAGACACTGGCGGCGCTCGAGGACGCGAGCTGGGTGTGGGTAGGCTGGACGGTGACACCCCCGCCGCCAGGAACATTAATGGTGACGCCGTAGCCGCCGGTACCTGAGGCGAGGTCCGAGGTGCAGGCGGCGTAGTTACTGGAGCAGGCCGAGACGGCCGAGGAGCAAGCGCCCGCATTGGAGAAGGAGGTGGCAATTGCCGGAAACGCAAACAGCGAGTTGCTCACGTACGACACCGTGGTCGATGTCGGCAGCGTACCTGTGAGAGTCCCTGTTGCCGCCCCCGTACACACGGCTCCGGATGGGCAGCACGCCGGGCTGTTGCTTGAATCTAGTGCGCAGTACTGGCCGTCGGCGCAGCAGATGCCCGCAAAAGCCGAACCCTGGGACTCGCAGCTGAGGTAATTGGTTGGACAAGCTGTATCTCGCCTCTCTAGAGAGGCAGCGGCCCCGTACTGAAGCGGCGGTATGTAGTTTGCGCCGGCAGATGTGATGAGCAGGCTGCTGAGCGCCACAATCAAGACGGATGGAAGCGAGAACAGCGCATGGTGGCGGCTGGGCGAGTCCGTGGGCCGTGGTATCCTCATGATTACAAGCTGTGGTGATTTGCGATGGTTTTGTTCCAAGGTTGGCTCAAAGCAAGAGAGCAAGCTCAAGAATCCTGGTTGGGCGACACTAGGTCGGAGGGCAGATCTCGAGGTCCTCTGTATGTGTGCGCCGCTGGTTGAAGTAACGATGATGGCCAGGTCCGAGTGGAAATAATGAGTTTATGCTTAAATTTGGAGTCCGCCTGCATGCAGGTTTCCTGTTCACCGCTGATGGAGTGAAGCAGTCGATAAGGAGTGGAGGCCGGTAGTGGCTCAGTTTCTTTCTGTCTGCAAGGAGTTGTATGGACTTGCAGAACCTCTCTTCAGTGCCTCTGTAAGCTTGAATTTGGACGATGGATACAATGGCTGTTTGTTGTACAATCGCCTCGGCTGCAAGGGTCGGCAGTATGATCAATCTGAAGCTAAATAGTTACAAAAATGTCAAGATGCAGCCTTCTGCCGAATTCCTAGCAAAAGAAATCAAAACGAAGAAGAGCGATTAAAAAGCCTCTAACTTCCATGTCAGATTTCCAGGTGGTTGGCAATATGGACCTACAATACGACCTTACCTTAGCTTGAGCAGCTCCATCTCGCCCAACATGATGTCAAGCAGCGCCCATCGTAGCCCAGCAACCGCTAAAACAGCCCAGGGGTGGTGGGGGGGGGGTTCCGCTGGTTCTAGTACTACCTGGCAGTGCTTGGGGGCTAGGCGCTGCAATATTGGGTATGAGACGTGACAAGGTACCGTGGTACCTGACACGAACCACCGACCACCGATTTGATTTCGAAAAGAGCGGGCCCAGGTCCGGCTGCAGTGCGATTAGAGTAATGGTCCGTGCACACAGCAGAACTCATACGATGATCCGTTTTGGAAAGATTTCCAAGGGTCTCGTTTGGCGCAATGGTGAATCGTCGTCTCACAAGTGGAAGCAGACACGGTGCAAAAGCCCAGGACGTTCTTGTACACAGCACTTGTTTGCAAGGCTCCATTGCTCCATATGAGTTGTTCAAGCTGAAGCGTCTCTATTCCAGCCACAAACGATGAGTTCTTTCGGCAGTCCCGGCTCAGGGCCATATGCCGGGAAGCCCATCCCGTAAGTTTCTTCGCTGCTCCCAAGTCATCGACACGTCTGCAACGGCTACTAACGAGAACACAACAGCCCAGAGAGAGGCAGTTTTCCTCTTGATCATGATGGCGAGTGCAAGGACGTCATGGTCAACTACCTCAAGTGCCTCAAGGACGTCAGAGGCCAGAATGATCCTGCTTGCAGAGAGATTGCCAAAAACTATCTGTCTTGCAGAATGGAGAGGTGAATTGCATTCAGCTACATTTGAAATAGTCAATACTTTGCTGACACATATGGTACAGGAATCTAATGGCAAAGGACGATTTCAAGAATCTAGGTTTTGGCACAGAGAAACCAAAACCGACCCCAAAGGAACCGGAAAAGGGGGTCAAAGGCGAGTTGCACTGGTAGAAATGCAGCTCGTGAAGAGTTTGAAATGCAAAAACCACACTCATATACAAATCCAATGTGGCAACTCATGTTTCGATGGTTGTGGCTCTATGGCTGCCTTTGCAATGACACCAGCAGGCTTTGAGTTCAACGGGTTGTCGGCAATGAAAGTACGGGATGATGAAAATGTTCGTCGAGAGAATGGTCATTTAGCGACTATCCGAGGACCAAAAATCGACAGTCCGGAAGATTGCGGCGGAATTACATCTTGGGATCGATTTTATTTACTAGAGGAAACTCTCCCTGTCGCTTTGCGAAAAGCTGCGAGAATGCAAATAAGCTGGCTATTCAATCTGGACACAAATCTGCATCCGAAACGGCGCATCCAAAAAGCAAAGGCGCCACAAAACCGACTTATTTCCAGACATTCCCAGCCGCAAATCCGATGTCGCCAAGTTTGGCCGCCCGTGGGGTTCCCTGGCGTCCCCCGGGTTTATCGTTAGCGTCAGGCCCAGCTTGGATTATGGAGGCTCAACCGAGCATTATTATTCCGTAGCAACTGGGGAGGTTTGCTATAAAACGTCATCTTTCTACTCCGAAAATAGGACAGCGCGAATACTCAACTCATAATCCACGGCCCAATTGAGTCTTTTCAAAAAATTCTCCGCAGCGTGATACCTCATAGACTGGCCTTTATTCATCATTGTCAAGTGCACGATCAACATGATTCCCAGGAGCTCCCGTGTAGCCCGCATCAATGTGCCGAGGTTTGCCGGGAGCTACCGCCGCTCGTTCAGCGACACGCGAGCATTGAACAATTATGACGCTACATTGAAGAACCTCAAGATAGGAAAACACACACGAGTCATCTTTCAGGGTTTCACTGGTACAGTTCACGATCCAATAGAACCATATGTGTAGCACGCACTAAGCATCAATATAGGCAGACAAGCAACAGCAAATGCCAAAGAGTCGATAGAATGGGGAACCAACATTGTCGGGGGCGTGACCCCAGGTCGCGACGGCGAGCATCTTGGGCTGCCGGTCCTACCAAGCGTTAGAAAGGTAGGGTATTGCAGCATGACTTCTATGGAACTTGTGAGGATCGGGGCGCTGACATCGTGGCACAGGCAATGGAGACTCTGAAGCCAGATGCTACTGGAATCTATGTAGCGGCGCATCAGGCCACGGCCGCCATAGAAGAAGCTATCGAAGCCGAGGTCCCGCTTATAGTCGCCGTCGCCGAACATATACCTGTGCACGATCTCTTACGGGTATGTTATGATGAAATCACAGGCAGGCATATGATTCTCAAAGAGGATGAAATTAATGCAGGATTCTAGATACACTCTATGCTGAGGACGCAGTCTGCATCCAGACTAGTGGGTGCGAATTCCCCGGGTATCATCTCGTCCGTTGGAAAGTGCAGAATCGGATTTCAACCACTACCGTGTTTCGAGCCCGGCAGAATCGGTATAGTTGCGAGATCAGGAACGCTCAGCTACGAAAGTAAGTCTCAAGGTAACAAATGTTATTGTGACTACATGTCACTCACATGAACGCAGCTGCTGGCTCGACTTTGCGGTCTGGCCTTGGCCAGAGTATTTGCATCGGCGTAGGTGGTGACATCTTGCCTGGTACAACTCTGGTCGACGGACTCAAAATACTGGCAGAGGATGAAGATACCGAAGGCATCGCCTTGGTTGGCGAGATCGGTGGCAACACCGAGTTGGAAGCCGCAGAATGGATCAAGGAATATCGAGCAAAGACTAAAGATCCAAAGTGAGTGATTATCATGACATGAATTTAAGTCGTGTACTCACGTCGTAACTTACAGGCCTATCGTGGCCCTTGTTGGAGGTATCCAAGCCGTTCCAGGTCGCATCATGGGTCATGCGGGTGCTTTTGCCCTCCCTGGGGAGCCGGATGCAACAGAAAAGGTGAAAGCTCTCCAGTCGGCGGGAGCCACTATTATCAACCACCCTTCAAGATTCGGCTCTACTCTCAAATCGCTACTTGACGGCTCGACGCCCAAGGGAACTGGTATAGCCCCTGGAGCTGGTCAACAACGCAGAGGAATGCACACGTATAGACGACGACCGATACTCTACCAAGGCCAAAACGCGGCCAAGCAGGCTTTACAAAAACGTTCGATATATCTAAGTCAACAAACAGCTCTCGACCTTCTCCGTGTGCGTGGCATACGTGTGAATGAGGAGTCCATGGGCGCAACTGAACGGCTGCTCGCAGTGTCGATTAACCGCAGCACGCGCAATCCCTGTATCGTCGCCTCTCTTACAACTGACGCCAAAGATGCGAAGATTTTTGATTTCGAGTACACACGAGGATCTGCAGACCTGCCCATCGGGCCAATCGCTGCGGCACTCGGGCTGGACCGGGACTCGACGGAAGCACTGGAACAGCTCAGTCACTTGCTCAGAGAACTAGTCAGTCTATTCATTGAGAAGGAGGCGTTTCTCATTGACACGCGCATCGCCGAAACCGTTGACGGCGTTGCTGTTTCCCGGGCCCGCCTCGGCTTTGACGACGCCGCGCACCGGTCATGCGGACGGCAAGCCGACATTCACGCGCTGCGCGACGTGGATCGAGAGGATCCCGCCGAGGTTGGCGTCGAAAAGGACGGAATCGTCTACATCAAGCTACAGGACGGTAATATTGGCACTTTGGTCAACGGTGCTGGCCTCGCCATGAACACTGTCGACGCCCTGGCTGATGCCGGCGGCCGGGCGGCCAACTTTTTGGATACTGGCGGAAAGGCCACGAGCGAGACAGTAAAGAAGAGTTTCGAGGTTATTTTGACGGATCCCAGAGTCAAGGTATGTTGTCTCTTTGCTTCTTTTGATATTGTTCATCTCCTCCTGCTCCCGCATTCCATATACACCAATCCACGGCTCTGTGTCATCCGTGTTTGAGATTCATTACTAATACAAGACTCTACTTAGGCCATCTTTGTAAACATCTTTGGCGGGCTTACACTCGGAGACATGATTGCGCGGGGAGTGGTCATGGCCTTCAAGGATCTGCACATGTCGGTACCGGTAGTGGTCCGGATCCGCGGCACCAACGAGAAGGAGGGCCAAAAGATCATTGCCGAGAGCGGCCTGCCGCTGTATGCCTTTGATGACTTTGATGAGGCTGCGGCAAAGGCCATTGAGTTGGCAAACGAGTCATAGTAGGACTCACACAAAGTGGTACCACGGGGATTTGGATCGGGGCGTGGATTGTTCATCGAGGGTGAATAGAATTATACAACTTTGTGTACATGCTCTGGTTTGTGTGGATTTCCTCGTATCGGAAGAAGGATCCGTTTGCTCCAGAGTGGCAATGTGCTTAGACACCACCGCCTCCCGGGCCGGAGCGTGTAGTTATGATGTGACCAAGTCTCAATCCTCAGTGCATGAGTGATGCGTCTTGATGACCCAAAACCGCATGACATCAAACTTTGCACAGGAAACGTGGGCACACGGACGCCCCTCTATAGCTGTCAATCTGTGGCAACTTCCACAACTCAAGATATTTTTTTCATGATATTCTTTTACTATTGTTTCTTGATAGAGCAAAATGCTGTCATGTAGCGGGAGCAATACTATGACCTTGTGCTTGGCAGGGGCGCAAGGACCGAGCACATCACACGCATCAAAAATCGCCGCCAACGATCAAAAGTAGAAAGTGGCCACGCTATCTCGTGACGTTTTCTGCCCCCAACCAAATATGTGTCTCGTCTCTTCTCTCGAATGGGGACCGGCTATTTGCCAAAAGAGACATACAAGAAAACGGATCTCGGGGTTTCATTTGCGGAGTGTGCCGCTCCCCAGAAGGGGTCTGGATCTCTTTCATAGATACCTTTCCTGTCCTTTAAACTTGTCTAGCCCTTCCAAAAATGGTCTTGGAGTGTGTTGTGGGGAAGAGAGCCTCCTTCTAGTTGATATGGCGATCGAGACGACCTCGACAATATCATCTTTGAATCGAGAGGCAGTACTCGGAGGGGCATGACGATGCCCCTCCCTGTTTTACATTTCTCATCTCCCGTTCCAACCACCTTTTCTCTCTCCCGAATGATTCCTAAATGTCAACTTGAACAGTCGACTCTGTTTTTAATCAGATGGCAGGTAAGGTAGACGAGAAGGTCCAGCACTTGGGCTCTTTGCCGCCAGAAATTCCAAACTGATCAACAGACCGTCTCTTTGGCCTCATTGAAGAAATTCGTATTCAACGAATCCGCTTTCTCTTGGGAAATAAACCCCATGCGGAATGATACCCTGCAGACGTTTCCTTCGGCATTGCGATCTCCCTGGGCCTTGGGCCCCCCATGTCCATCTTATCTTTTCTTTTTCTTCCCATAGTTTTCCTAGTTGAGAAAAACGCATTGAGCGTTTCGAGCGTTTCCCTGTACTGATTAGCTCATACAAGTTGGAAAAGAAGATATGAAAAAAGAGTCTCTCGTCATGATCGAGAACAAGAAGCATTGGTGTGACAATCGTGGACTCTGCTGAACAACGTTTAATTGTGGATATATGTGCAAGTTAAGTATGTATGTAGTATGGGGTTTTTCTTTCTTTTCGGCAAGTCAGGGATGTATAGGCAGGATCACCCTGCATCTGCAGATGGAGAATATTTTTTTTTGTTTGATGGTGACGAGATGCCCATTACTCGATTCGGACGCAAAGCAAAAGAGAGATGATCGTGCACAACCCCAATCTTGCATGTCCTTTTTTCCCTTTCTTTCCACGATTTGCAA